GCTGACACACATCTTCTCTACCGAATATATTATAAAACTTTTGTACTATTGAATTGCGGCGGCAACTGTACGATGTAAAAAACGAACTCTGAGAACAGTACATAACGCAGTAGGTTACAGGACAAGAGGCATGTAACTTGATAATGCCACCCAATCAGTGGCACGCCTACAACAGGAGAAGAAAAGAACCAGCAGCATGCGCAGAAACCAATGGTGTAACATACGGTGGCTCCTTGGTTGGACAGGCACTGAATAGCGCTCGCGTTGAGAACGGGTAGCTGTGCGGGGCGGACGAGCCGGTTATTCGGGTGATGCAGGTCCATTGAGTAAGTTTCAAAACCTACGATTCTAATATTTTTTTTAAGTTGTCTTTCTTTTGCGAGGACATCTTACTTTTTGATGAATAAAATAAATAAACGAGTCAGCTGTTACAAATCATCTTCCCGATTGTGACTTTTCTGATAGCAGGTTCGCTCTGGAGATGATGGGTGATTCACGTGAAATCCCGAGGACATTCACAAAACAGAACTTGAAAGGGGTTTTTTTAGGGGATATACTCCGGTGGTCGGTATGCATTTATGTGTTTTACCTGTTTTCAACTTTCTGGGGATGCATGTTCTACTAGAGGTTCTTCCCTCCTTAGTAACCGGGGCACGGTTTTTGGTTAGCATTGGGAATTGGTGCTTCCGTGCACCATACAATTCATACGTCTCCAGTCTATGTTAACCAAAATCTCTTCCCAACAATTTTCCTTGTTTTCTGCATCACTGAACGCCTTTATGTGTCCAGCCCTGTCGTTAAGGAGGCGTGTCTGAGAAAATTGCAGAGGCTTTCTCCTTCACTTTTAACGCTAAGGCTCTTAAGGGGAGGATTCTTCGTGCCAGGAGCTATTTTTTAGTTTTCTTCTTGGAGAGTAAATCTTACTTTTTGGTGGAATAATAAATAAAGAGCAAGCTTTTACCAGAGTATCGTATCCCGAGTGGTTGCCTAATTTTCTGTCTGACTCTAATCGCTGTTCATTTCTACTGCCCGGAGGTCCCTCGCATCCCGTGGTTTCCTCTCTTCGCCTCTTTTATTCCGTTCTTCTGCTCGACCCTCTTCCTTTATTGGCTGCCTCCTCCTTCCCGCGGCCGGCTGTTACAAACATTGAAACCGCAGGTATAATACGGTCGTGAATGACTCCCCATCGAAAAGTGCTTGCCGATCAGTACCATATTAATCTTTAAGTTTACTATAACGAGCTTTATTACGTAAAGTGTAAGCCAAATGCACTTTCTTTTATTATACACACGATTTAATCGCAATGATAGAGTCTGTGCTATTTATGTGATCAGTCTCGGCAATGCCTGATTAGGACTATCGCCTAAAGGGAAGGCTAAGGTCAAATAACACCTTTCTCCTTCCTCTGAACAATTAAAGCGTTGAGCTGGTAGAACCAATTAGCAAAGGTGATAATATTGGAGTGTCTTAGATCTGAATTGCGATGGCCCTAGTCGTGTCTTTGTCCGCCTCTACCAGCACATTTCTAGATAACTGCTTGGGACTGTGGAGGACACAACGTACATGGGTTTAGCAAAGGAGTTACATGTTCGATGTGGAACACGAATGATACAATATGTACAGGTGATTTGGCTAAATAAATTACCAAAACATGTACAACAGCTGTCGGAACCTAGTAAAAAAGTATTCCGAATTACTTCGGATTAGTGTGTAGGCCGAAAAGAAGTAGGGAAGTGAATCGCAGACAACACAGCTACAAAGGAGAAAAATGCTGTAGCCAAATGCGCAAAGGAGGAGGGCTCAGACGGTTTGTGTTGCCTAGATGGCTTCTGAACTGTAACCCAACCGACTGCAGTCCAATTCCACACCAGACAGGGGAGGAGGCTCGGTGGTGTAAGTTCTATTTTGTAGAAATAGCTTATATTTTGAGACTGCGGGGTGAACGCTGGGAAAGGACTTATGGTGGAAGCGCCCAGTCGTGGGGCAAGCCGTCTCGCGACAGGACTAGCGCAGGGGAGTTGGGATGGAGGTATGGGACAGTTGAGTTGGAGATGGCGAGGGGGGAAAAAAGAAAATCGGTCGCCATTTCGCGTTGTGCCTGGCATCGGGTGTCGGGACCGCAAGTTCCTAGCATTCATTAAAAATGAGAAAACTTTCACGTAAAATTTTATTGAAAACTAAAACATTTTTATTGTGATCGCACAGCGGCGGGCACATGCTAAACAATCGGCGGGCGCTATGGTGCCCACGGGCATATGGTTAGGAACCCCTGGTCTATATTTTTCACTACAATTCTGTTTCCTCCCACCTTAGAGGACTTTTCACCTTAGAGGACATACGATCTCTACTCAGTGCACTACCCTCTTCCTCGCTCTTTTGGCAAGCAGATCTGTTTTTTCTTTTTCCTTTTTCTTTCAACTTTTACGGGAAAATTCCTGAATTGTTCTCAATTCTTCTGGACTAAGGGCCAAGGCGTTGGCTTACGGAGTACCTTTGCTAAAATAAGCATTAACTTCCACATCATCGTTAAGAAAATTGAAATAATTCAGAGAAAGCATGTGTAAATAAGCGAAGGAGAACCGTTACTGGTTTAGAGGGTCAAGTGATCGATAAGAAGTTAATTCTTTTGGGGAATGGTAAGCGAGAATGTTTTTCTATTTCGCCAATGTTCATTTTCGGACCTTCTACTTTTGTACCGTATATCTAACTCAAAAAGCTCGTTTAATGACTTCGGATTATTAATTTCAATAAAATGTTGATTTTTAAGCAACAATCTTGGAATGACTATATCCAGAATTTTATTTTCATTCTCGTCGGAATACCAGAACCTACAAAGTTCAATTTTTTTTAATTGAATTTTGTCAGTTCCTCGCCCTCCATTTCAAATAAATTTCATTTTTTAATTTTACTTTATTGCTTACGGGAGGAAATGCTTTTAACACGGTCTGCAAATTTTCGTACCAGTGCGTCGGTGAACTCACAGGACCAACTTAGTTCTACCGATACACTTAATACCAACTTTGAGCTTGGCCTTTCAGCGCTGATACCATTGCTAATGTTTTTTGGGAATTTTCTACTCCATACATCAAAAAGTGAGTTTTGCATCTTCTCAAAAACCGAAATGCCCGATGCATCAAAACTTACGTTTGACTTTACGGCATTGGTAGTATAAAACGATAGTTTAGTCAAACTGAGAAACCCCACTGAAAGTTTTTCCTAGAAAATAAATGCACTTAGTATAAGTAATGGATGTTCAAAGGATATCTGCAAAAATTTTGACCCACAAAGTGTTTCAGTATGTGCTACGTAAATCAATGTGATTTCATATTACAACAACAGGGTATACGAACAACAGAGTTTCATCATCAATATAAATTTATTAATCAATATCACTTATACTTATTTTACTTATTAATCAATATCATTTACGCTTACTTATTAATCAATATCATTTACGCTTACTTATTAATCAATATCATTTATACTTATTATACTTATTTTACCAAAACCATCTAACAGGGTGCTTGCTTGTCCAGGACCAGCTGGAGTTAAAACTTTTTATTTGGTACTTTTCTGTTATAGGAACTAGATTCATAAATGTATGTATGGATGGATGATTTATTCATGTATTTGCATGTACATACATATATGAACATCCATGCATACACATGTGCATATATACATAGATTTCTTAATTGGGTCCTGATAACAGAACAATGCCCATTTCTTTCTTGTCCAGGAGTTTTACTTAATGTAACTTTGAGCCATTTTATTACGGCTAGTTTATTCACGAAGCGTGGAGCAGCAATATGTTCAGAATACGTTAGGCAACAACAAGTTCAAAATACGTTAAACAACACAAAGCTCAAAATATGTTGGGCGACAATACGTTAAAAATACGTTAGGGGCCAGTATGGCACTTAACTTTATACTCCTGCTTTAAGATGTTAGATTAATAAGAGCAGTTCAACTAGCTCTCTGAAATCTAATTACAAAATGGCACTAACTTCCTTTCCCGAGTTATCGAGACGAAAGGGATAGTTTCATGCAGACCAAGATTTAACTGTATTTAACATTAAAACTTTAATGAATCTGTTCTTGAGCAATGCAAACAAGCATATAAAGATTACAGCCTACTTGACGAAACTAAAATCCACATTTCAAAGAGGAGCACGTTCTACGAAGAACCACAATTCACTACTTTTTATCAAGCGAGGCATAAAATCTTTAGCCTACCGATTTGGACAAGAATGTTTTTCATCGTTACTTACTTCAACCTGAATAATCAACGGCTGTTTCTTCCAGTGGTTCCATTTTTTAAGACCTACCACGCTTATGGCCAGATTCGGCTGTCGTTTTTCAGGTAAATTCCAACTTAGGCGGGATCAGACATCCGACATAAAACAACTGCAGGCTACCGCCGACGGACCGACTATCGGTTCCAGTTAACTGCTTAAATCCCTACCTCTTCTCAAAATCTGCATAACCCTCTGGAGGGAACGAGCTTGTGATTAAGTTCGAAGCGATAGAACACAAAAAATGATTGTCACAATGCTTTCGAGAATACTTTTCAGAAAAGAAGATTCCATCACTTTTTATGCCGCTTTTAAATGCAATCAAGACCGTTTGAATTTAAGCATGTGAATGGGAACGTGGCTTCTAACAAACGATTTTAATAGCGACTCTGACAAAAGCTTCATTGCATTTAAGCACAATAGCAAACTTAATGGTTATAAAAATTAGCAGAGCTTTGAATATTTTTAACTCTTCAGTGTACAGTAAATTTATGGTTGTTGAAAAAACGACATTTGGCGATGGACACCAGAAGCAAACATGGGAATCTAGAAAACGTTAATGAATGCAACTTCGTGGAAATTTAAAAAAACATTGCAAATTAAAGAACTAGAGGAATAATACATATTCTTGATTAGGAAAAAAATTGTCCATTGACGGCATTTATTTTTCCCCATTTGAACTATAAAATGATAATTGAGTCAAACTAAGAGTCCTACTGAAAGTTTTATTAGAAAATAAATGCACTTGGTATAAATAACTGCATGTTCAAGGGATATTTGCAAAAATTTTGACCCACAAATTATTTTAGTATGTGCTACGTAAATCAAGCTAGGTGATTTCATATTACAACAAATATACGAACAACATTATCAGTATGAATTTATTATTCAGTGTCACTTATTTAATACCTATTTTAAAAGACTTCGTAGTTGAATGTACTCGCATTTTATGAACTCTGACTCTTCATGGTGGAATCTCGTAAAAGAAACACTTTGGGAGTTGTATGATTACATCCTCCGCACAAAATTTCTTTTTGTGAACAACTAATATGTCTTCCTGATAAGACCTACAACAAAGCCACAGTATACTTACGATAAATCTACAATACACCTATAAGAAGGCACAAATACATCACTCCATTTATATCTTATGCATGAAAAAAAAAAAGGCATGTGTCTTTCATGGAAAATACAAGAACACTTTTAAACTTTAATTAATTCCGATATCTTCTTCTTCTTCTTGAAGCTTGGCTTCCCTTTGGCGTCTTATGCTTCAACTCAAAGTTCCGATATCAGAACGAGAGTAACAAATTTTTATCTATTGAAAATCTTGCTCACAGTCAAATATCACTTGGCACTTCAAGAATTGCATAAATATTAATTCACATCAAGTATTAATTTGCATCAAGAGTTTCAGAAGCACAGTATTTTTTTATGCTGAGAGCTTCTGATGCGTTGCGTGAAGGTTCACATCTGTATAACGACTTCGCCGACTTACACAAGTTCATATTTCATTAGCTAACAAGAATTATTCATGCCCATAATATTATTAATTTTTCAGAAACGGCGAATCTGATGTCTTTTAGTCGCAGAGTCATCTTCATAATATGGATCTTGATAGGAAAATACTGATGGTCTGTGGGAAGAAAAAAATAAGTACATAAATTCTTTCACAACAAACGATAGAACCATAACAAGAAATTTTTGCATTAAATAATTTCAGTAAAGTATAATGAAATTTATGCTGGCAGAAATGCTGGCAGATTTAAATTATTTTTGTAAAAATATCCTTAAAATTCCTTAAAACGATGAAATAATTAAAAGTAACATTATCAGCAACACTTTATTACAGTGTTATCTTCAACTATAGAATCTGTCTAGAAAGTAATGATACCAAATTTTTCAAGCCAAGCAGAAGGCCAAAAGGACCGAGTTTGCTAGTGGTAGGGGTGGTGGGAGCTGTCCAGCTGCATAGTCTGGCGGATGCTGGCCTTGAGCTTTTGTAGCGCACGGATCGCTAGTGAAGCGAACACGCCTTTGAAAGTGGCGTTAGGTTTTCAGAATGCAGTGGAGTATAGAGAAGCGATACACCATAAAGTTCTGTGTAAAACTAAACATATCCGCTGCTGAGATGCTTGCCATGTTACAGTTAGCCTACAGGAAGGATTCTTTGTCTAAGACTGAAGTGTTTAGATGGCACAAATTCTTCAAAGATGGAAGAGAGGGCGTCGATGACGAAGAAAGTGCTGGGCTACATAATGTGGCTAAAATTAAAGCGCTTTTGGACAATGACCGTCAGATGAATGTCCGAATGATTGCGGAGAAGATAAGGCTTACAAAATCGATCGTGCATCAAATTATCAGGGTAGAACTTCATATGAGGAAAATTTGTGCCAAGCTGGTTCCAACCAGAAAGAAACCGCCAGTCGATTTCGCGTCGATTATTGGAGTGTGTAACAAATGACCCTAATTTTTTGAAGCGAGTGATTACCGGTGACGAAACAAAGAGGCAGAGTGGTGCACGCTCCAATCTCCTCGTGAAAAGAAGACTCGAGTGAGCAAATCAAAACTAAATCCATGCTCATTGCCTTTTTTGACACCAAGGGATAGTACACAAAGAGTTCATGCCATCGGCACAGACAGTCAATACAGATTTTTCCAAGAAGGTGCTTCAAAAGTTGAGGAATCGAATCGCGTGCGTCTGTCCGGAGCTTAACACTTTAAACAATTGAATTCTACACCCCGATAATGCACCTTTTCACACAGCCTTCAAAGGAACTCAGTTCCTGGCAAAACACAAAGTCGCAACGCTTTCCAACCACCGTGCAGTACCCGATCTGTCACTGTCGAACTTTTTTCTATTCCCTAGGTTAAAATCCAACTTAATAGGTCATCGTTTTGACAATCTGGAGAACTTGCAGAAAAACGTAACGCATGTTCTAAACAACATTCCAGTTGATGATTTCCAGGCGGGTATAAATGGGTGGCAGAGTCGTTGGCAATGGTGTATTAATACAGGAGGATGCTATTTTGAAAGATATTAAGTGTCCGTAAAACTACCTTCAAATTAAAGAGTTGTATGGAATCAGACTCAATATTTTTTGGACACACCTTGTACAAAATAACGCGTTATAAGATAACTATTAGAATGTAACCGAGCTCTTTTATCAAACGCCATCTAGTGACGAAGAGAATAATTTACAGTCAGTCGACCTCTAGCTGCGATGAGGATACATTCTCCAATATTATGTCTCCGTCACTCGAATGTTATTCTAAATGTTAGATATTCCGTTTTGGTTATGTTCTGTTTTGATGTGTATATTTTATTTGTAAGTGTTTCTGTGATCTATTAATAAATACTTTTAGAGCTAGCCGGCGGGATCAGTATCAATTAAAAATAAATTGCTAAAACGTGTTTTCGAAAATACTCATTGTTTCAACTTCTACTACTATCAGGTTTAAAAGAATTTGCAAGTGAGTACTACGTAAGTTTAGAAGTAATAACATTAAAATAGATCCAAAATAAGTGACGCTACAAAGAGATTATGCGAAATGGAATTTTAAAGGTCTGAAAATGCAGTAATGCTGGAGGATACGTAAATCAACTGCACACCAAATTGATCTCCTGTACACCGATTATGCTCTTACAAAAACACTTTTTAGATATAACCTCTAAAGCAACTGAAAACATTAGACATTTAGGAAGAATATGATGCGGAATAGTTCAGAACATTATGTCGGTTGTTGTAAAAGATCTTATTTGGAGCTGGAAACAAGTGAAAGAAACCGAAACTAAAACTGAACATTCGATTTTTAAAAATTGTTGAAGTTCACAATAACCTTCACAAATATCACTTTCAAAGTTTAATAATTATTAAATTACAAATCAAGGCCATTGAAAAACAGCTTGAGTCTTCTATAAGAAGCCTGAGGCCTATAACTACATTAAATAAGCAACAAACAGCGTTTTCCATTTTCTTCATTATGAATACTTTAATTTACACAATAACTACTTTTTACTCTTGAACCCTTTGCGGCACAGTGTGTCCGGTCTGGACACACCTAAAAATTTCCTTCTGTACGCACAGAAAAATTGAATGAAAAAGGATTTATAGATTAGTATAGGTTACTTGAACCTTTTATTATAGTAGATGGCAGCTCAACACAACCAGTCCATATATTTTAGCAATGTTTAGTTTCTTTTAAGACCCTCATTTTTCAAAGAAATCTTCCAGATTTTGTTTTAGGGTATAAAAGGAATAGTTTGAAAAGAAATTTCTATGTTATTTTTTTTTGGCTGTAGGCTAATCTTCTTATTCTATATTATTCTTATTAATTTTAAATTTTTACCTTGAAATCGTGCCTAAAATCAAACGGCGAACCCTAGGTGTGCCTACACCGGGCTCACCGATAATCTAGGACAACTGAAAGTCTGTATTCTTTGTTTCTCCGCATTTCATCGGTCAGTTCATTGACAACAAAGCTCGTTTCAGCACTCTTTGCGAAGCTCTATTCAATCAGTGTGCCAATTTGGGCACACCCACAGAATTAAAACGATAAGTGCTATGTTCACAAAATTTTACTTGTGTACTCCTCTAGGCCTAATTAGAATGCCTACTTTTTTTTTTTAATCAAAACTTCGACTTTAAAGTAGCGTGCCGGAAAGGGTTAAAGACAAAAATTTGGAAATATATATATAAATACTGTTAAAAACTTAAAATGATTTTTATGGTAAAAAATTAATAGTGGTGGCCGAAATTGTGGACACTTTTGGAAATTTTTATGTTTTTGAACTTTGTATGCTTATAAAAAACGTTACGTTTCACATAATGAAAACTTGTATATATCATCTTAAAGAGAATATACTGAATCAATACAAAACACTAAATTCAATATTTGCAATACAAAAAAAAAAAAAAAAAAAAAAAAAAAGTTAAATGATAATAGTTATCGATATACATTAGATAGTGATGATTGCAGGTGACAGTGACAGCAGGGCCGGACACCTGGACGGCTTTCAAAGACTAATCGGGTATAGTCCGGGACCCGCTCCATCTAGAGCATAACATGTTTACAACATAAAATACCTAGAGTTGCTTTACCTACACGACAGAAGAGCATTGCATGGCGACATAACATAGCTCAGCACAAACATAACATGGCATAGCATTCGACGGGACATAGTATAGACTACAGTCATTGCATAGTGACATAACATATTTACAACATTAAACACAACGTAATGTAACTACATGACAGGTGGATATAGTATAGCAACATAACATAGTTAAGCATAGATAAGACATAGCGACATAACATATTGTGGCTACATATTTACAACATACAATTCGCAGTGTGGCATGACCTATGCGACAGGTGGACATTGCAGTGATGATTGCAGTGAGTTATGCAATTACAGTGATGATTGCAGTGAGTTATCAGTACTTAGTAGGGTACCCTTTATTTTTTATTACAGCTTCACATCGACGTTTCATTGAGCTGACAAGAGTTTTAAGCTCTTCTTTCGTTATTACACGATGCCAGGAAACAATTATAGCCTCAATTACTTCCCTTTTATTTGATGAGCGCCTCATTCAGAAAAGAGTTTTCAAACGGTGCCACAAATTTTCGATAGGATTGAGGTCAGGACTGTTTCCTGGCCATGACAAATTTATGCTCTTTGTACGAACCCACTCTTTCGATATTTTGGCCGTGTGGCAAGGAGCAGAATCCTGCTGAAAATAAACGAAGCACTGTTGGGAAAGAGATCTCTGACGGAGGTAGAAGTTTTGGTTCTAGAATAGGTCAATGTATTTTCTGGCATTCAGTGTCCCATCGATGACAGAAGGCGACCATAACCATCTGCTGACATGCATGACCAAATCATAACATTAATGGGTTCTTCATAGTTGCTTGAATGCAGTCAGGATGTAGCTCTTCTCATATTCTACGTCTATACATATTTTCGCCCATCACTACCGAAAACGATATCTTAGTTTCATCACTCCAATAACTTGTGACCACTGATCATCTGTCCAATTAAGTGTTCCTTTTCCCACTGTAAATTTTTTTTTTTTTTTTTCGTTGCTGAGAATTAAGATAAGGCTTTTTTCGTGGAATTCTACCTCTCAGTCAACATCTGTAATCTTCTCCTGATTGTTCTGAACTGACAGAAACACCAGCATCATTCAGATCTTCTGATGGCCGCTGATGACATTTTTCTATCTTGAGAGACATAGTCTTTTTATTCTTCTGTCATCAATAGATGTAGTGCACCTTTTTCGGCCTTTTCCTTCTTGTTTTTATTGAATTTTGTCTCTGATTCGTAAACAAAACTTTCGGACTCCAGATGTAGTCACTGAACACCACCTGTCTTGCAATTTCAGCATAGGAAAGACCACTTCTCGTAACACAATAATATTACATCTCTTTCTAGGTGTCCAATCTACTCTTTATTTGACGTCATGCTTCTTGACTAAATATTAAAAATTTTTACAAAAATTCCTACCTGTAATTGCAGTGTATAAGAAATAGGTCCTCTTCTACAGAACAAAAGCAAAATAATGAATTGTTTCAAGTGTAAACATGATGTCAGCTTCTACTGGCAGTTACTAACATTTGATTGGTTCTCAGAACAAGAACAGTGATTGGCCAGAAAGCTAGACATTACAAACCACTCATAACTGTGTTTTTTATTTATATTAAAGTACATATAACTTTTTTGTATTACAGATAATTGAATTTTGTGTTTTGTATTGAATTCAGTAATAAATTCTCTTTAAAATGATATATACAAGTTTGCACTTTGCGAAACGTAACATTTTCTATAAGCATACAAAATTCAAAAAGATAAAAATTTCCAAAAGTGTCCACAATTTTGGCTACCACTGTATATGTATGTGGCGTACTCAAAAAGGTCTATCGTAACGATTTTTATTTTTACCAACTATATCACGATGAAATAATTCTAAATCCTTCCGAAGAATTTAGTTTGTATATATTTTTAAAAATAAGTTAATTGGATAACCAACATTTTAATTTGAAGTACAAGATAACATTGGGACTATACATGAAGTTTGGTTTTCTTTCTTTGCTTCCTTTGCGAAGTAAAGGAAGTATTGTAATCACGAAAAATTTAAGGTATCATATTTCAAAGAAAATTTACATTTTGACCACTATCCAATGAAATTTAACACTGTTTTTGCGTGACATCTGTAGATAAGGACAGAATAAAGGACTTTTTTTCCCCAAACGAATTATAAAATTGATTTTAAATGGATTCAGGAGATTTTTCCGTGACGTCTGTACGTACGTAAGTATCTAGGTGTGTATTAGCTCAAAAACGCGTTGTCTCAAAACCTTGAAATTTTGTATGTAGAACTGCTATGACATTCAGTTGTGCACCTCCCTTTTTGGTTGCAATCAGCCGCGATAAAAGTATATAAATGTATATATATATATATATATATATATACCCATTCTGTTACTCGGCTCTGTGAGCTCAGTTTTTTTTATTCTTATATGTTAGCAAATTGTGCATTTTTTTTTTCTTTAAAAATGATTGAATTATGTTGTTCTTATTTTCCAATTAAAGTTTTTATGCCTTTAGTTAATCTGCATGCAATAGTTGTAGAATCATCAACTATTCAAAAGTTGTTTAAATGCGGTTAAGCCTATTTTTTTTTAACCATAGCAGTAATATTTGTTTATATTTGAAACTTAGCAGAATAGTGAATTCAGTTTCAGCACCTCCAGTGCATTGTTGCCGAGAGGGGCCAAAAGTAAACTTTCAGTTTTGTGCACCGAAAAATCCGCGTTCTTGTCTGCTGGAAGAATTGCTGCTTTTGCCTAAACTCTAATTTTAATTGTAAAAATTGTTTTTTTTAATTGTTTTAACTGTATTTGGTGTTTTAGGTTTTCTATATTTTGAATTTTTAATGAAGTTATTTTGAGATTTTATGCACTTTTGCCTTGCCACGAAGTGAGAAGTGAATTGACTGAATGAGAAATCTATCTCAAATGAAATACGAGGAAACAAGTTTAAATGAAATGCAGGAAAAAATGCGCATAATTTAATATTCCGTACAAGGAAGTTATGTGGTATCCGAATCAGATTTTTTACATAAATAAAAAAGTAATCAATTCCTAAATAAAAACTAAATTACTTTTAAGCCCTTAATCGATTTCAGATTTGGATTCCCCCCCCCCGCTGTGTTATTGCGACAAATTTTCCTTAGTAAGAGTGAGATTTGAGTGGAACTCTATCATAGTCTCTTTGTAATTTTATCACAAATATGTGCTGAGACAAAAAAAAGGTTTATACAAATTGAATAGCTTAAAAACATGCGGTTTATTTTAACCGTGAACTTTTTGAAGCTATTGCGACATCGCTGCCATGTAAGATTTCATGCGGTGACAGTGAAACAGGTAGGTTTCTGCAGATACAGTTTCACCAGAACATTTCATCAGATATGTTTCATCCATGGCTGCGCTTATAGCCATTGTTAAATCGCTTTTAGCAGCCATTTTGGTGTATCTTTTCTAGCAGATCTATCTCAGTTATTTACACAGTTTTGAGATTTAGAATATCATTTTCATTAATTATAATCTTAGAATTATGTCAACTCATTTTTGTAATTTTGTATAATGAGAAGCAACTACTTAGTTTCTGTTATCATTTTAAGTTGCAAAACTACCAGAAGTAGCCAATAACTATCTGTTGAGTTTTCATTCAGGATTGTGTGTTGTATTAACAGTTAAACACTTGCAAGGGCAGTAATTGCCAGCACAAGTCGTTAATCTTATCCCTATGATTAACGTCTAGTTTTACAGTACCTCACACAACAGAAGTTACTGCTATACAAAATGTTTCTCGCTCTGCTCGAAACTTTTATCCAGACTGTTAATGCTGAAAGCAAACTTTTTTTTTTTTAAACCCAAAGGGGCAATTTGCTCAGAAGGGATATTAATTTCGTTTTGGCATTCTGGTTCACTATAAATGTCGGTTCACTTTTCAAATTGTTTCCACCAAATATTATCGCATTGTGTTTTATTTAAAGAAAATAAATAATGGTTTGGTTTGGTTTATTTAATTATGGCAAAGCACACTAAGGCTATCTGCCTAACGGGAGGGATGCCTTCGTGGAGGACTTTCTAAGGGGAACTTGGTCGTATACACGTTACACATGGGGAAAACCACGAAAACGCCCATGCAGCCAGCCCGTTCACGGGATTCGAAACTCGGACCGAACTACCAGTGTTCAGCGACTTTACCGCTCGGCCGCTGGTGGGCCGAAAATAAGTAATGAAGAATCTGCGTGGATGTATGTACTTTTCTCGCACTTTGAAAGAACAACGGTACCTAGAGACATCAAATTTCGAATAACGTAGTCCTCCATTCCCATATGAGCATCTAGAGGCCCAAATTTGGAATTTGTTCTATTATCTCTATTTCCTATTTTGTCAAATATTAATGAATTTCTGATTAACAAACACTCAACAATTTCAAAGCGAGCAATAGCAACACTGCACGGAGGGAAAAAAAACATACACACTCATTTTAACCTCCAGAGTGCGAGACTGTGTATCAAAGATTCTAAAGATATGCTCATTTTAAAATTATTTTGCGATATTGCTATTGAATTGAATTTTGTGGTTTAAGTGAGAAGAACATGATATTTAATGGGTAAAAGTAATACATAAAACGTCGCCCAGACGGTATAGTGGTTAGGGAAGTCTGCTACGGTACCAAAGGGACCGGGTTCGAATCCCGGAGAAGGCATGGATGTTTGTAAATGTATAGTGTCGGTGCGGCATGGTGGCGCTCTAAATATGAGGCGAGCCGAAAGTCCCCTCGTGTGAATTGGTGAGAGTGAAGAGGGGTGGGAAACCCCAAGTCTCCCCGGAGTGTTCTTCCTCAAAATTGGGGGTGGAAAATAGAAGTCCAACGTCTCTTCGAAGTAGGCTCAGGCAACCATTGTTCCATGTCAACAGCACGACAACACCTAAAACGTAAAAAAACGCCTCTTTGGGCGCAATATAAAATCTGAAGGTTTTCAGATTTTCTCTTTCTTTCTTCCTTTTTTTTTTTTAACTTTACAGGGACTTATCAGATATTTTTTGCTACATCAACTATAAAGTATTTAATGATGATGCGCAACATAATTTTTACAAAGTACTTTTCGCATACAAGCAAAAATATTTATTCTGTTTTTTGTATGAAAATGTTTTTAATGATAGAATTAAATGAAGACAAACGTGTTAATGATAGCAATAATTCAAATCATACATGGAAAATATAAATTACCTCCATATATCCTCACTGGCTCTTGGAACTTTCTTTCCTTGACTTCTTTTTTGCGAGTTTCTGTAATTTAGGAAAGGCAAGCTAATATTTTCATTCAGTGCTCTGTTTTTGTTCCGCCGTCTTCTCTTGGATAACGAACCATTTCTCATAACGTTGGAGGACTGAACTCGGGAATGATTTCCGGTGCGAAGTAAACATATGATTGTGGCGCAGCCAAAAAACTCAACAATTTCAATGATCGAAATAACAGAAACTCCTAAATAAAGACCTAAACATCCTCCTAAGTCGGCCATCAACTTTGGTAACTGGTAAAACAAAGAAAAGATTACTTTTTAAAAGGGCTATTAATTTAGTTGACCATATATGTAGAAATTAAGTAATAAACATTTTAACATACGCAGAAATTAAATTATTAAAAAATAGCACTATCCAATTTATCTAAATAAAAGAGAAAGTTTCTTCTGTCATGTTTTAAAATTATATCATGCAAAAAATAAACCTGATCAGCCTTCCAGGTGAAAATTTTGAAATCTGAAATAACTTACCTTTTACTGCAAGATTTTGAAATATAGAATTATACTTTTAGTTCAAAACATATTGATCTACATTTAACAATCAATACGTAGTACATTAAGCATAGTTTTATGCAATATGTAATAATAATAATGACAATAAATACACAATAAAATATTTATTACACATGAATAGTAATCCGATGCATTAAATCTGCGGTAAAAAGGCCTTACCGTCACATTCGTGATCAACAAGTGAGGGCAGATCATTTGAAATCGAGCAAAACGTTTGAGTGTTGCTTTCAGAGGAAAATCGGTCTTGTTGAATTAAAGTTGTAAACAAAATTATAATTGTGGTTTTAATTAGGAGATTAAATTGCAAACCATGTCTTTAAAAAATGTGATGTGTACACCACATGACTTCCTTCTAAGGAACATTACATTACACGCATTTTTTCCTGCATTTCATTTAAACTTATTTCCTCGAATTTCATTAGAGATATATTTCTCATTCATTTAATTATGTTCTCACTTCGCGGCAAAGCAAAAATACATAAAAACTCAAAATATTTTCGTTAAAAATTGTTAAATGCAGAAATACATAACACACAAAATACTGTTAAAAAAATTTCACGAACAAAATTAGAATTTCTACGCAAAAACGAGCAATGCGTCCAGCAGGCAAGAAGGCAAATTTTTCGGTGCACAAAACTGAAAGTTTACTTTTGGTCCCACTCGTCAAAAAGACATTGAAGGTGCAGAAAATGACTTAGTTCACTATTCTACTGAGTTTCAGATGTAAACAAATGGTGGTTCGTTAGGCTTCACTGGCTGCTTAAACTTTTTAATTGTTGATAATTCTACAACTATTGCCTGATGATTAACTAAAGGCATAAACACCTTAACCGAAACATATAAACCACATAAATTAATCACTTTTAAAGCAAAAAATTTACAATTTACCAACCTATAAGAATAAAGATACTATGCTCAGCGAACCAGGTAAGAGAGTTGGAATATATATATATATTATTACGAAATGTACAAGCGCGGTAAGATGGCTTCCCCGCAAAGGAGTTTTAGGGTTGCCATAAAGTAGTCAGGGAAGGCAGGATTGTCACATTTAACAAGAAATCGCCCATTTGGCGACATAATTGACGATATACCATGGACGGATGGAGAACCTTCTGGAACGAATTCTTACCGGTTTAGCCCAGAATGTTCTCGAACACAAGCCGAAAGCTATATAAACCCTGCTGGTCCGCAGTCAGTTGCATGACTCTCGAGAGCGAGTGAGAGTGTCTCGTCTAGTGAGTCAATCCCTGCGGAGACGATTAGTTGGTGTTGACAGCCAGCTCAGCGAGTACAGCCGAGTGGGTCGTCGAGTGCACCGGAAGAGTCTCGTAGAGTATTGCGGATAGTGCATCGTCGAGAAAGCATGTTGATCTCCGGGAACGACTGAACAAAAAAGTCGGGAGCCGTGCTCGTGTGTCGTCGAGTGCATCATGAGTTGTAGTGTGGAGAGTCTCATGAGAGCATGTGGAGTTCCAAAAACGACCGAGCAGAGTCGGGAGCTGTACTCTAGTGCTTTGCCGTGAAGCACCGGCCAATAAAGTGTGTTTCGATACTTCATCAAGTAGTATTGTCATTATTCACTCCAAATCTACACAAACCCCGAACGAACCTGAAGGAAGAAAATAACGTAACTGGTGTCAGAAAAGAAAAACACAGCAATATATATATTAATGTACAATTGGTGCAGCCGATTGAAACGAAAATGTGAGGTGGACAACTACATGTTACAGCAGTCTCGTATACAAAATTTCAGCATTGTACGGCTGCTCGTTCTTGAGTAATGGGAGATTACTCAAGAACGTACGTACGTACACGAACAAAATCTCTTCTGAATCCATTTTAAATCCAATTTACCATCCTTTTTGGCAAAAAGAGTCTTTTATTTTGTCCGTACATACCGATGCCATGCAAAAACATCGTTTAAACGGTTTGGAGTGCGGTTGAAAAGGATATTTTTGTTGAAATATGATACCCGAAATTTTTCGCGATTACAATACTTCTTTTACTTCGAGGAAGTAAAAACGGGTAAAAGAAAAGGAACAAAAGAAGAGCGTGTTTTTCAAGACAAATGGGAAATTACGTGGTGCTGCGCGCAGTAAAATTGTGTGTTTTATTTGTAATACAGAAATGCCATTTCCAAAAGAATACAACTTGTTTCGTTATTACGAAACGAATCATGAAAAAACGTTGAAACTGAGAAGAAAAGATTTAAATCTGTCTTAGAACAACAAGAAGATATTTTAACAAAAGTAAATAAATTCAATAAAACAAGAATTCATGCAAGTTTTGCTCTCGCGCACATGAATGAAAAAAAAATCATTTAGTGATTGATACTGAATTCTCTAAAAACTGTATGATTAAATCTGCTGAATTTTTTTTGTCCTGAGAAACAGGAATTGTCTTAAACCAGTAGTTTGTCAGCCAGTACAATAGCGGAACGTATTAACGAGATCGCCAGTGAATTACGATGTCAGTTAAATAAAGTATTATAAATTTTTCAGCATTTTAAGTAGAAACTGACGAGAGCTGATCACTGATTAACACAGGCCGTTTAAGTATGAGGTGTTATTGATAAATTTGAAGTAGCTGAGGAATTACTAGAAATAATTCTCCTTAAAGGAAAAACTGTTGCACATAATATTTTCTTCTGAAATGAAAACTGTAATTAGATAAATATAAATCAAATTGGGATAAAATAGCAGTTGCCATCACACGCAATTTCAGTTTGCATATGGTGGTGCGGCTGCTATAGTTGGTAAAAGAAAATGGAGTAGAGGTAAAATTAAAAAATACTGTGAAAGAAGAAAATTTTGAAAATATTGTTACGGTTTTTGTGTTGATTTATTTAGTTTGCTATTTTTAATAGAATCGGTATTAAATTGATTCATTTCCTCGTGCAATGCTGCACACGACTTATTTGAAGTGAAAGCTAAGCCGAAAAAATTAAAAATACAGGAGCACGCGCATTTAATTAAAAAGATATCTCGTAATTGTACGCTTTTGCTTTTCGGGAAAAATCGAGAAAATCCTAGACTATGCTCGTGCTGATTAAAAAGCTTATAAAAAGCCAGAGAAAGAACATCTCAGCTCAGTTGTTTTTAGATTCCTGTGAATCCACCTCTTAGGTGCGCTCTTAGGTATGCTCTTAGGTGCACCACTTAAGTGCGCTCTTGCACTATTTATTTCAGGTTTAACTTGTAATATATTCTACGTTTTAATTTCCACCGCAAGTGGACGGTGTTTTTGTAACGCACGAAGTCCTGTCTTTCTGTTAAATTAGTTTAATTTATTAAAGGGTAATTTTCACCCTTCTTCTGTGCTGGTAATTAATTCACGCCTGTGCGAGAATTCGCCAGGTTCATTGTAGGATCTAATTTAGTTTATGTGGAATAACACAGACATATCTTACAGAATAATCAATATTTTAAAAGTTTTTACCAAAGCAGCCATATTTGTTTACATTTGAAACTTAGCAGAATAGTGAGTTAAGTCTTTCTGCACCTTCACTGTCTTTTTGTCGAGTAGAGCCCTAAGGTTTTTGCATTGGTGGTTTTATGTTTTCTATATCTTTCATTTGAGAAAATTTTGAGCTTTTTATGTATTTTTGCCTTGCCGCGAAGTGAGAATTGAATTGATTGAATGAGAAATATATCTCTAACGAAATTCGAGGAAATAAGTTTAAATGAAATGCAGAAAAAAATGCGCATAATTTAATATTCCGTATAAGAAAGTCATGTGGTCTACATATTAAATTTTGTCAACAAATAAATACAAGTTGTACTTGTTGATATATAAAAACGCTTCAATTTTAATGAATAAATACAAGGTTCCAAAGATGTTCGTGGCATTTTTTCCAGTTAGGCCCTCTAAAGTAAGGTCCTTATGCATACATTAAAACCTACTTTATTCAAAAAGTCATCTGTCACTTATAGACATCACTAATGCATTTAAAATTTGAAACCCCGTATAATGTCTCCAAAATAATTTCATTTGTTGATTTCTAAGTTTGCCCATCATTGCAACCTCGACACTCAGTTCAACAAAAGTCCAAGGTTTGTTCAAAGTTATAACTGAGATGGAAAATTAATTGAATCCTTTAAAAGCTTAAGAAGTATGGAAACATAATTTACCTGGTAACTATACTCTTCTTCTACAGACATATAAATCATTTCTTCTATAAACAGGTGCACTCGTAAAAGATTTTCGCTGTAAGACAAAAACACAAATGATTATAAAGGGTAAATTTGTAGTGGTATTGTAACTGAATCTCGTGTTGATATATTATAAGAAAAGAAAGAACCTGAAAAATGTTTCATTGACATAGTCTGAAATGTTGGCGTCATCGAACGGTAAGTCCAAAAGTCCCAATGCTTCAGGAAGGTGGTTCCACTGATCACGTGATCTATTCATGACTAACTGTTGGTGGCCAAGGTTGGGCCAGTCGGCTTTTGACAATGAAACGTCGTATCGGATAGACCTAAAAAAGATACAGAATAGTTAATGTGAGTTGGGTTAATTCCCTTTTGAGTCCTGTAGAATTTCTTGATTTCATTATTTCATAGGTAAAAACCACCAAAATATTTCATATGTCAAACCATCTCCAACAGAAGACTGCCTCTGAAAGAAAACCGTAGAGAACTTCACCTCTCTATGAACTTTTTCAGCGATCAGAAGACTAAAACCATTTGAAATGAGGGGATTGCCTTAATATGTGGGGATTACATTTTGCTTAAAAACCAATCCTAAAACCATTTGAAATGTGGGGATTGTCTTAATATGTGGGGATTACATTTTGCTCAAAGAACAATCCTATAGTTAAATATTCAGAATTTGTTACAAACTGAAGAATTCATTAAAAATTAATTACTTTATGATTGCAAAGGCATCCTAATTTTCAAGCTTCGCTGAAATATCTTCCGAAATTTATATATATAATAGGAATGAAATTAAATCAAAGTAAAGCCAGTAAAATACAGACATTTTTTAATCAGAATAATAAGTGACATTTTATTTCCTAGATTCCCTTTGCAAAGGTGTTTAAATCATAAGTAATCATTAACAAAAGTAGTCCGTAAATGTGAATTTGAGAAAACAATAAGCATAATATCTACCTGCATGCTGGCTTGCATATCTCATCGCAGACGCTTCCATTGTCGCTAAAATTTCTAAGAACGGTGCTTCTACATTTTGCTGCAAATATGTAAAACAGCATTTAGTATACATTTAATTAATCTGAAATGAACTAAGAAAATAATTTATTCAGAATATTTCAGTTAGTATTCCTCCCGAAGAGCTAATTATTCTGATCTCTCTAATCAATACAGAAACAAGACGTTTTGTTTCCAAGACACGTTGAATATATAAGACACTTTAGACATTCGTGATGAGGCGATGACGCACTGTGACATGCCGCATGTTTCGAGTAAGCATGAATTAACCAGCTTCCGTCTTTGGTGTCAGAACGTCCTCTTAAGAGTTCGGCCACCGTGTTCATCTGATTTGATTCGAATTGCTGTTGCGTAGGACTTTTGATAGCACAGAACATCGCATCCGAATATGCGTATTGACGTCAGTTGGAGACATTTTCCACAGATTTTGTAAAGGTTTGTTACATTCTCGTGTATTTTGGGACGTTGTAAAACACGCGTGAGGTTTCTAAGCACAACGCAGTAATTTTAAATTAGCATACCCACTGAAACTTGGTAACTTGCGAGTAACTTGGTTTACGAGTATTTTACAAGATGAGAGAAAATTTTAAGGAATTTTAACTTGATAAGCGAGAGATGTCTGCAGAGCCAATAGGTATTTCAAAGCAGGAAACAGGGAAAATCAGCCATATCCTCGCCGGGACTCGAATTCAGGACCTGTCGATATCCAACCGCTCGTTCCAGTTACACAGCGAAGGCATGCGGCAAGGAGAGAGAAAATACTTTACATTCTCTACCATTTAAAGGGCGGCTGAGGAAAAAGGGGCCCAATCACCATATCCTAAGGGTGACAATTTACCGCCCAAAACCTTTCAGTTTGGGTGTCATTTCGTAAAGTCATCGTCATTTCGAAGTAGAAAACGGGAAAAATTATAAGGTATTTCTTCCCTTTTTCCAACATGCCTTCGTCGCGTAACGGGTAGCCCTCTCGGCGTGTATTCGAGAGGTCCAGGTTCGAGTCCCGCCGAGGGCATTGCATACTTTTCATGTGCTCCTGCTTCAAAAAACGCCTAATGACTTTCTTCCTTTTCGCCATCGACGGAACAGCTGGCCCACTGGGTTAGGTGCTTTTCAGCCTGTTGGATCCCGTCGATGGAATTAAAAATAAATATATGAATAAATATAAATAATGAGCTTAGTACTGTGTCCTCCGGGGAATGGCCACGAAACGAGAAACATTGAAATAATGACCAGAACATGGAAAGAAGGTGCATGGTGGGGACTGCTGAAACTAAGCGGAACACTTTTCGCTTAGTTTCAGCAGTTCCCACCATGCACCTTCTTTCCATGTTCTGATCCTTATTGCAATGTTCCTCGACCTTGTTCCTGGTCCTTATTTCAATGTTCCTAAAAGGTGGTGGATAATGATCCTTCATTACCAGGATTCGGCGATTGGGTCACTTAATCGCCAGTCGCCCTGGTATTTTCTTCCTTCTTCCAGCATGCCTTCGTTGTGTCATGGTCAGCCCACTCGACGCCTATTCGAGAGGTCCAGGTTCAAGTGCATATTTTTCACTTCTCTAGCATAAAAAAAGGTCTAATGACTCTACAAAATCAGCTGCGCCTTTGCCGGGACTCGAACTCTGAACTTTCTTATTCTCGGCCGGATGTGCTTTTGAATTACACCACGGAGGCACGCGGTCAGGAAGGGGGAATACTTTACATTTCTTAAAACAGAATGGTAGGTATAAGCTTTGGTCTACCGAGCATCACGTGATCACAGTGGAGCAGAGAATTTTTTCTCTGTTGCAGTGGGACTGCTGTATCAGCCATGCTTGATCTCAGTCAGCGCGCTTTGCTCATATAGTCAACATGATAGCTTCGTGATTGACCTGTACTGCGACCATGTTTGTGGGCATAAATCTATCTTTTTAGTATGTCCAAATATAGTACTTGTTCTGTAGTAAGTGCACTGCACCAATGACCCCCTGAGAAGAAAAATTTTGAAAACGAAAGCGCCACGAAGCGAACGATTGACGGTGGAAATTAAGATGGGAAACATCGAGACGTGCTACAGTTTTCCCTTCTACACACTCCAATTCGTCTGGAGAGCATGGGGGAAGAGATTTAATTGTGGGATAATATGTGTGGCATGAAAGTACAATGCAAATTAATGAAAAGATGTGAAAAATTTATATCATGTTTATAGAACTTTTGCTAAGATCTTTTTCCTTCCCTGTGAGCAGCTGAAATTTTGTACTTGTCGAGGAGAAAAACAAGATCTGTAAATTTTGAATTTTTACATTTAATTACTCAAAATGTCATCTGGTTTAAGAGGTGGGCTTTGGTAAGGTTAGCTAGTTTAGATAGTTAGAATTGAAGCCCTTAACGAGGGCGTTAAGGACGTCTTTTTCATGTACTTAAATTCTGACAGGGAAAGATATGAGGTTTATCTATTTATTTTTTAACTACTTGAAAAGCCTTTCATGCCAGAATGTAAATGAGATAGCGAGAGTTTATTCACATTCAGGTAGAATGAAATGCTATTTAAGCAAGAGTTTCAGAAGTTTGTTTTAGAGCGTGTCTGCCTAGTGTAGGGCCACGTTGTGCTGTGATTATTCGCGACTTACGTTCGCGGCGTTGATGTGTTCTTGCCTTTAGGCTTGTCTCGCCGGTTTCTTTAGACCAGAGTTCTTCCTGAGCGTTAAAGTATTCTGTGAGCCGTTAGACTAACCTACAAACCTTGAAATTATTACTGTTGCGTATTTCTGTTAAGCCATTAGTGTTGGTTTGTTGTAACCCAAGTTGGGTCATTTGTTAATTTTATGATTGAATAAAGGGTCTTATACGCCCTTCTTTTGATCTCTGTTTTAGTTTCACAAAGGCTTGAAGATAATTCTTCAAACGTCCTTTTTAAAAGTTTATGTTTCCCAAGCGTCATAGAGTGTATAATTCATTTACGAAAAGGATCTCAAAATATACTTTTCATAGATCAGATGTAATCTAAAATATATTTTTGTTATTCCCCCCCCAATGGCAGATTGTCAACAATTGCAATTGTAACCCAGTCCATTATTCTATACAAGGCCGGATGTGGTAGTCTCTTTATTATGGAGGCACCTAATAGGTGGGCCACCATCGCCTTTCCTATGGAGGGTCGGAAGCCTTATTACAACCATGCCTTCTCCGGGATTCGAATTCAGGCCCTTCGGCATCGCAGTCAGCTTCCCTGACCACTATACTGACTGGGCTGCTATATTATTGTTATTACATCAGACATAATGGTCGTAAAAATATAATATTTAACCAATTTCTATTCCCAAAACAACTAACCTAACTTTCTGTTAAAAATAACCGAAAGACAGCATTTATCAAGAAATGCATTACGTTTGCAGATGAAAATGGAAACATTTTATCGCGTCGAAACATGTTCAAGACATGGTAGTGCCTAGAAAAAAATCTTTGGTAAACTTTTTCTCCTAAAATTTAGTTTTCGTCTTTCTAAGTGCATAAGAACACATTTTAGTTACAGAGTAGCTCTGAAATTAAAAATCTTTTACATTGTATTACTTTTTGCATTCTGAAACCATAAATAAAAAAATTAAAAAAAATTATTAAGCTTTAAGTTACTGAAATCTACTTATTTTTCTCAACTAAAAATTTAGGTTTTCTAAAAAATTCAACACCTACATCGCACAATCATAACACAAAACAAAGCCAGACGTAAACATCTCAAAGTGCAGACGGATATTAAGTCTACAAATGGATTAGTGCTGAAGACTTAATTTTTCTAGCAATTTCCATGGTTGAATTTTTCCTACTGGTAAAGCTGACCAAATTTAACCACACATGCAAATAAGAAATGTGGTTGGTATGGAAACGTGTCTTTTTCTGTTGAAACAAACAGTGAAGTGAGTGACACGATAGAGGGTGGCAGTCACGAAATTTGTAAATGTAAACAACGGTTGGCTGGATTTTCTTTCAGCGTCCACTCGGTTAATGACATCTACATCAAATCCGCTTTATTACGGCATCAATGCTCAACAACTGAAGCTAATTTTTGAAACATTTCTGACACGGTTCAGTTTATTCAATTCCTACAACCTACACGCACGCAACATGAGCGTATATGAATACTTGTGAGTTTTATTAATGAAATGGAAAGTAACTGATTATGTGGATTTCGATTTTCTGTTAGTTTTTGAACAAGGTTAAGTAAAACTTATTTTTAATAAGTTTACCTTTCATTTAACCTTGTTCAAAATACGGCATTCATCTTTGAAATCTCTGGTAAATATGGCAGTATATAAATCAGTTTTTAGTAGCAAGCTGTCGTGAGCTAATTAGTCGAGGTCAAGGGGGTCAATTAAGGATGTTCAACTGTCAAATACGTTACTAAACGGATATCTTAAATTTGCATCTAAAACAACATTTTTCGTTTTTTCTGCTTTTGATTACTTTTATGAATATTAAATTATGTTAAGTTATAAGGTATTTTCTCTCTCCTTTCGGCATGCCTTCGTGGTGTAACGGCAGCACACTCGAGAGGTCCAAGGTTCGAGTCCCGGCGAGGGCACTGAACATTTTCAAGTCTCTCGTATCAAAAATACATAATGTCTTTACATTAGGGCCGCAGCTAAAAGGTGGTGGATGATGATTATTCATCATCTGGATTTGGCGATTGGGTCCCCTAATCTGCAGTCGCCCATTAGAAGGGGGAGTAGGTAAGATATTTTCTCCCTTCTTTCTGTCTGCTTTCGTGGTGTAACGATAGCACACTCGGCGCGTATCCGAGAGGTCCAAGTTCGAGTCCCGACGAGGACATTGCTTATGTTCCATGAGTCCTGCTTCAAAATGCCTCATGACGCTACAAGGGTTTTATAAAGTTTTAGTTCTTTAAATATTATATTATATATTATTAATAATTAAAAATTTTAATTCTTTGGACTTAGCTTCAACTTATATATTGATAGTGACTTATTTTTGGCTCCTTCTCTTCTTATTCAATAAGATTCTCATATGAAAAAAAAAAAGTGTTCCATTTTTTTTCCTATTAGTGTTAACCAAAAAATCTCCCGCAGGATCTGTTTGTATTGCAGAGTCATTAGGTCATTTTGAAGCAGGAAACATGAAAAATGAGCATTACCCTCGACGGTACTCAAATTTAGACCTTTCGAATCCGCGCCGAGTGTGCTACCGTTACACCAGGAAGGTAATGCAAAAAGGCAGGAGAGATCCCCCTTTTAGAGGGCAACTGGTGATTAGGGGACCCAATCGCCAAATCTTGGTGGCGAAGAATCATCACTCAACATTTTTTTTTTTTTAGTTCGAGCGCCACTGTAGATTTATTACATGTTTCGGGGGCAGGAGACATGAATAATGAGCAATGCCCTTGCCGAAACTCTCGAATACGCGCCAAGTGTGCTAACTGTTACACTACGAAGGCATGCAGAAAGGCGGGACAAAATACTTAGGATCATTTCTACCTTATAGTATTAACTCAAACTTCAGCTAATTACCTTTGATAAAATTCATAGCTCTCTTTTTAAGGACTCTATACTATGAATCTAATAAAGTTTTAAAAATTTAAAGCATTTCTTCCCAGAATGTCATAAGATACATCAATAAAATTGATATAACTTCAAAATTTCCTTTTAAGTAATACGAATCTAATTTGACAAGAAGAAAATTCAACAAAATCTTCACACTTTAACTATGATTGATTGATTTTTACTTCACTGTATGAAGTAAAGGAAGTATTGTAATCATGAAAAATTACGGTACCATATTTCAACGAAAATATCCATTTTGGTCGCTATCGAATGCACTTTAACGGTGTCTGTGCTTGACATCTGTACAGAATAAAGGACTCCTTTTCTCCAAAGGAATTATAAAACTGATTTAAAATGGATTCAGGAGAGATTTTTTCGTGGTGTCTGTATGTACGTATCTCGCATAATTAAAAAACGAATATCCTGAGAACGTTGAAATTTTGTATGTGGGACTGCTATACCATGTAGGTGCGCACCTCCCTTTTTGGTTGCAATCGGCCGCACCAAAAGTACATACGTAAATATATGCATATATATATATATCCTCTCTGTTACTCTCAGTGAGTTTCTTTATTCTTGTACGATTGTAAATTGTGTGTGTTTTTGCGATAAAAATGATTGAATTACGTTGTTCTTATCTTCCGATTAAGTTTTTTATGCCTTTAGTTAATCTGCATGTTATAGTTGTAGAATTTTCAGCAATTTAAAAGCTGTTTAAGTGGGGCTAAACCTAATTTTTTTAACATAGCAGCCATATTTGTTTACATTTGAAACTTAGCAGATTAGTGCATTTGTTGACAATCTAGAAAAACTAAGTTTCGCAACAACAAAGTAACGTCTTCTTTTATTATTGCGAATTAAATTATGCTTAATCCATTCTCGAATTATTATTTAAGTTATTAAACTATCTCATATATTGATTCAGCATAGCGTCCACAATAACTTCAGTCAGTTTCTACGCTTTCAGAGTCTGATTTTTCGGTGCATGAAACTGAAAGTATACATATGGTCCCACTCGGCAAAAGACACTCAAGGTATAGAAACTGATTTATTTCATTATACTGCTAAGTTTTAAATGTACACAAATATGGCTGCTATGGTAAGAAAAAATTAGGCTTTGCTGCACTTAAACAACTTGAGAGAGTGTTTGAGAATTCTACATCTGTTGCATGCAGAGAAACTAAAAGCATAAAAACCTTAACCGGAAGATAAGAAGAACATAACTAAATTATTTTAAAAGCAAACAGCGCTCAATTTATCAACGTATAAGAATTAAAAAACACTGAGCTCACGAAGTCGAGTAACAGAGTGTACACACACACACACATATATATATGTATTCCTTTGGTGCGGCCGATTGCAACCAAAAGGAGAAGTGTACAAATACATGTTATAGCAGTCCTATATACAAAATTTCAACGTTCTGAGGCTACTCGTTTTTGAGTTATGAGAGATACATACATAGTTACGTATGTACGTATATATGTACGTGCATACGTACAGATATTACGAAAAAAATCTCTTCTGAATCCATTTTAAATCTTTTTTGCAACCCATTTTGGGAAAAGTGTCCATTATTCTGTCCTTACATACAAATATCACGCAAAAACATCGTTAAATTTCATTCGATAGCGATCAAAATGGATATTTTCGTTGAAATATGATATCCGAAAATTTTCACGATTACAATACTTTAGTTCTCACAAGGAAGTGAAAGAAGAATTTAATATTTCTATGAAATAATGTTCATTAATGCATACTCAAAGCATTCATACTAAAGTATTGTGAATATAAAATCTAGATTTTTGAAAATGTGTAATTATTTGGGTTAGAGTGAACACAGGTGCAGTATTATTCTGGTGTGCTAACATGTAAAACTGGTAAAGATGAAAAACTTACATTGTGTTTTATTACATGGGTTACAGAATTTCCAGCCTACAGAATGACCAATCGCAGTTCTCGGCTGTTCATCGAGGCAATCGCACTGGTCGAAAAGGAGAGTATTCTGACAGAGAGTATTACAATGCTGAAACATAGAGGTGAATATATATACAAGGTGATTCAAAAATAACTGGATAAAAGTAGAGAAGACCGAAAGATACACCTTTTATAATGGAATCTGTGCGCCGCGTTAAGGAAAATGCAGGGAGCTGCTTATATATCTATGACACTGCAGGTGAAATGCACCTGCTATTCAAGAAGTTACAGAAAAGATTCCCGAGTACCTCCTTCGGGCAGCTGCTCCGTTTTCGCCCTCAGGTACATAGATAAAATGAACACCGATAAGGTCCACATTTCTGTAACGATGCCTATTGCTCCAAATCCGGACAGGAGGTGACGATTTACGCCGGTAGAACGCTTTTATTTATCTCTATATACCTCTTAACAGGGTTCTTTCGGAACACACATTAAACTGCAAAATCTGCTTATTTCGGTCCACTTAATCTGCCGTACATTTTTGCCAGATATTTTTAACCACCCTGTATATAAATGAATAGAATTTACTAAAGCCACCTGTCAGAAAAGTAGTTTTATGCACAGAGAAAACAAAATTAAACTACATGTGCTGCAAAATTTGTGAATCATCATTCTCTGCTAGGATCTAAACATAGTAATTGAAAAGAAGAAAGGAGTAGAGAGCTAGAGTCTTTTAATGGGAAATGAAAACTTTTCTTTTAAATACAAGATTGTGTTCTGAATAGTCACACACCCAGATGTAAATTTTTAAACAGAAAAATAATTCTGCGTTCTATTTCGGTTAAGTTTGTAATTACAATGTTTGTATATTTAAACATAAAAATACTATTATGCTTTACTTAATGAATTAAATGGATTAGTTCTATCAGGATGCCTTAAAGTTTTTTAAAGCCAAAAAACATCGAGGTAGATATGTCTGGATTTCTGTCCTGTGTTTTCAATAAAAACAAAATGATTTTAAATGATTTTAGTATTTCCCGAGTTCAGAGCAAACATTTTTTCAATTTTTTTACTAATCATATTTTCTTAATTTCTCGAATTACAAAGTATTTATATTAACGTATAGTGATTTTATATTAACATATTTCACTAAAAATACTATAGTTGAATAAAAATATTATAGTTGCATAAAGTACTACACGTACGAAATACTAGAATTGTATAAAATACTAGAGTTGTGTAAAAGTACTATAAACTATAGTATTAGTTATGTTTTACTGGTCGTCACATCTTACTATACTTCAAAGCACAGCAGATGTGCAATAGTTTCACCGGGCTGAAGTAAAATAAATATTCAGAATATTTTTATTCGTAGAAAGAAGCATCAGATACGCTTAACATTCTAAATAAAACCATTTTTTGAATATCGTGTAAAAATCAGCTCGTAAAATGCTCGAGAAGATCTGAAGATGTGAATGTGATGTCCAACAACACAAAAGTTAAAACATTTACAAAGTGTTCCAATAACATCAAAAAAAACAACAAAAAAATGAAAAAAAAAAAAAAAAAAAAAAAAAAAAAAAAAAAAAAATCTGATGCGGATCCACATGACTTCCTTGCACGGAATATTAAATTATATGCATTTTTTGCTGCATTTCATTTAAATTTATTTCCTCGAATTTCATTAGAGATAGATTTCTCATTCAATGAATTCAGTTCTCTCTTCGCGGTAAGGCAAAAATGTATAAAACCTCAAAGTATGTCCATTAAAAATTGAAAATATAGGAAAAAATAAAACTCCAAATACAGTTAAAACAATTAAAAAGACAATTTTTTACAGTTAAATTTAAAGTTTCTACGCAGAAAAATGCAAATCGGCCAGCACGGAACAAAGCAGATTTTTCGGTGCGCAAAACTGGAAGTTTACCTTTGGTCCCACTCGGCAAAAACATATTGAAGGTGCAGAAACTGACTTAGTTTCAAATGTAAACAAATATGGCTGCTATGGTATACAAAAAGTAGGCTTATCCGCACCTAAACAACTTTTAAATTGTTGATAATTCTACAACTATTTCATGCAGATTAACTAAAAACGTAAGAATCTTAACCAGAATATAAGAATAACATAATTCAATGATTTTTAAAGCAAAAAATGCAACTGAGCTCACCTAGCCGAGTAACAGAGTGGAAATATATATATATATATATATTGTTAAGAAATGCACAGGCGCGGTAAGTTAGCTTCCCCGCTTAAGCAGTTTCAGGGTTGCCATAAAAAAGCAAGTGAAGGCAGGGTTGCCGCATTTGGCAAGAAATCACCTATTTTGGCGACCAAATTGGCGATGTACCATGGACGGATGGAGAATCTTCTGAAATGAACTCTTACCGGTTTAGCTCAGAATGTTCTCGAACACAAGCCGAAAGCTATATAAACCCTGTTTTGGTCCGCAGTCAGAGTGTGTGTCTCGTCTAGCGAGCTAATAGTCAGTCATTCAGAGTGTACCTCGTAGAGGGCGAGATAGTTAGTCAGTCCATGATGAGTCGATCGAGTTGAGAGCCGGGCAGTGAGTACCGAGCGTGTCGTCGAGTGTATCGAGAAGTCTCGTCGAGAGAGTGTGTTAAGCTTAGGGAACGACTGAGCCGAAGAGTCGGGAGCTGTGCTCTGCATGTCGTCTAATGCATCGCGAGTTTGTAGCGTGGAGAGTCTCGGGAGCACGTGGAGTTCCCAGAACGACCGAACAGAGTCGGGAGCTGTACTCTGGTGCTTTGCAGTGAAGCTGTCTCCATCGTTATAGCCTGATAGTGTGAAGGCTGTGTCGCTGATTGTGTCAGCGTATTTAAAGTAGATCTTCGACGACTGTAAAAAGTGACTTTGGAGCTTTCCTGACTAATATTGGCTAAATAAAACTGTGTTTCGATATTCCGTCAAGTAGTGTTGTCATTATCGACTCCAAATCCACACGAACCCCATACGAACGTGAAGGAAGAAAATAACCTAACAACTGGTGTGAGAAGAAAAAAAAAAAAAAAAAAGAAAAAAGAAACAATATATACTTTTGGTGTGGCCGATTGCAACCAAAGTACAACTACATTTTAAAGCAGTCCTATATACAAAATTTCAACGTTCTGAGGCTACTCGTTTTTGAGTTATGCGAGATACATACGTACGTACAGACGTCACGGAAAAAAATCTCTTCTAATTTCAAACTCCTTTATTCTGTCTTTACATACAGATAACATGCAAAAACATCGTTAAATTGCATTCGATAGCAGTCAAAATGAATAGTTTCGTTGAAATATGATACCCGGAATTTTTCCTGAATACAGTACTTCCTTTAAATGGCTTTTCGCTAGAACTGCAGTCGATTTTTAAAGCCTTAAATTTAACAACTCTTTTACGATCAGATCTGCGCGTTTCTTTCTTCACAAGTCACTGAGCTAACATTTAAAACTCTGGAATGCTGAAGTTCTGGAAGAATGTCTTTTGACAGTAGTTCTGAACACGCAGTTTCCTACAAAAAAGTGTTAAGACCTCGCAATCGATTTCAAACAATTGATTAACTTCTCTTTAAGACTTGTTGGGAATTTACTTCATTGTAATACAACTACATGCAAATAATATCACGAAGTCAAATAACGCTCAGTGACTGATCTATGAACTCACAGAGATTTGGATTTCGATTGGTATATTCTCTTTATTGTATTTTAGAAGAAATCATAAATGAAAATTTTAATAAAATAATGTAAATGCTTTGGAGGCAATTTTTAATTTATTCACTTACTTCATAGGTATACTTGATATCAGAAAGGTCGAAGTCAAGGCCAGCAGCTTTTAGAGTGGGGATGAGCAATGAATCCTCGAATGTTTCAGTGCAGGTCCTCTCACGCCCTGGCAGAAGTCTACTCACTTTCTGAGAATATGCAACACATGTAAATACTCAGTGTAAAAAAATCGAAAAATAATCGCTTAAGTTTTATTTTTGTTTTTACACTGAATATTTAAGTCGAACTTAAATATTCAGTGTAAAAACAAAAATAAAACAATTTCACTTTTTTGGACATTGATCTTGTTTAAATATAAAGTTGCCACCAATAAGTATTTCTTCCATGCAGGCTTTTACATATGTTAAAATTAATAAATGAAAAATAAACGTGTATGATTATTTTGCTGATTTATTTAAGCAGCAGTGCCATTCAAGGACTGAAAAAGAAGGTCTTCGTTTCTCTGAGTCTGCTCATCTATAAATGCACTAGAAAGGATTGTTTAGATGTTAAAAACAAAACATTTAAGACACTGGGATTGCAGAATCTCTATTTAGAGGTGGGATCTCGCAATTATTTTTAACTCCCACTTGAGCCGCTACGTCTTCCTATATTGTGGATCGGTTTACTATTGGATCTGTATGTGTCTGACAAGTGATTCTGCGATCTATCTGGTGCTGCAATAAGTCCTAAATCAAAATAAAGGCCAATTTTACATTAAGGCGGTATTGAATAGAAAATAATGACATTTAGCTCTTGATAACGTCGCTACCAGAGCTAATGCAAACGGTGTGTTCTCACCTGACGGCAAAATTTTAAGAATTTAGGAAGGCATCGGGTGGGAGAATTTAAGAACCGTAAAGCTTTGCATTGAGAGACAAAAACTTAGTGCCTGCCCTAGTTCGCTGTGCAGAGTTATAAGACAGTAATTCTAATATATCTGGCAAAAGTGTAAAGGTCAAACGGGTGACCTAAAATGTACCATTAGGACTTAATATCAGGGTCACTTAATCTTCATTTATATGAACAACATACCACAGAATAACCACACTGCACTTGACATGTATGCAGACGACACTGCGATCATCTCACAAAATGCGTCTTTTAGTCCAGTTGTTCATCAACTACAAGAACAAATTCACGCCTTTGGCTCTGAAAATGGGAAATCCAGATCAACGTGAATACGTCTGGAGCAAAGCACTTCACCAGAAGAAGGAAGATCGAACATGTCCAAAGAGTTATTCCACTGACCGACTTATCTCAAGTTACTTATTTTGGCGTTATGCTCGACTCACTTGGAACCCCACATAGCATATATTATTTCCAAGTTCCGGGCTTCTAAAGTTTAACTTATTCTCTTAATTTCCTGGAGCTCAGTTTTATATTTAGATAACAAATTATTCATATATAACACCATGGTGTATCCCATACCAACTGACACCTATTCTGCCTGGTGTTACGCCAATAAAGCACAAATGTCTGGACTGTAAGTAATGCAAAATATCATCTTAATACAACTCACCAGAAGCAGGTGGTTCATTAGAAATATATCAATACTCGAGGAAAATAATAGTTTGCAAATTAATATGTTTATGGTTAAACTAGCCGAAACGTTTTTCAAAAATATTCATAAAAGTAACAACTCCATTCCATGAATGGATTACAGTACGCTGACTCTGTTCATAGAAAAGGTTCAGAGTTGTGCTCGAGTTAATTAATTGCTTCTCACTCGTTGCGTGCTCTTACTAATGTTTTATTAATTTTCAAATTTTATCTTGGTTGCTTCTAGATCAATCCGCCTTTACCCCAATTTCTTCGGCTTCCCACTCAAAACTGTATAGCTCTGAAATTAGACCCCCTCTTCTGTCAACGTATCTCCGGCTCCCTCAACGTCAACGTCCATCCATTTAAGGCCGTATCTCCGGCTATCCAGATTATTCTGCCTAAACGAAGCTTCCTGAAAACCAACCGCAGCACTCCATCTCCTGATGTCACCTACTACGTCACTACAGCTTCTTACACCTTCCAGCATGGAGGTAGGAAGTAAGTCCTTTGCTACCTCCATGCCTTCCAGTGCAGTAGCTTCCATAATGGATTGCAATGTCGTAGCACATTTGATCCTGCATACTTGCCAACCTATTACACTCAAAAATCAGGAGATTTTTTAAAGAAATCAGGAGATTTTTCACAATGTTAAAAATACTTTTTAAATGATAAAAATATAGTTTTTAAAGATAAATTAACTTTAAATAGTTACTAAGTCTTAAATGCAAGCAAAACAAAAACACCTTAGACATAAAAAACATTTTTATTACTTGCATCGTAAAAAAAAAAAAAAAAAAAAAAGACACTTTAATCAGTTTTCATACAAATGTTATGGACAGTGGCAGATTTTGCTTTCGTTAAGAAAGAAACTTCATAATTTTGTTCATAGCAATTGCCACGTAGGCCTGCTTTCGTTTATAAAAGTTTTTCTAATGTGTCATCACTAATATTAGATCTAAATTTAGTCCTCGTTTTCGCAACAACACTAAAAATCCTCTCACACTCCGCATTACTATGGGGAACTGTCAAGATGGCCAACATAATTCTAGAGAGTTTACTATATTTTAAAATTCCATCAGCACCTTTCAATTTTCCAATTAAACTCCACTGGGTGTCAATCCTAGCTGATTTTATAACTTCATCCAAGTTTTCTAATTGTAAACTGCAAAATTGCGACTGCAGTATATCAGTAGCAACATCAATATCGTCATCTTTCATGACTAAACGAAGTAACACAGGAAATCTGTTCAAAAAGTACCTTATATCAGAAAAAGATGCATTTGCTAGAGCAGAAACATCAGCAACTTTAGCATGCAAAATCAGTTCATCGTTGACTGGGAATTTATGTAGTATGTAATCACATACTCGACAGAAGTAACTTCTAACATGAAGATAAAACTTATTTTTGTCTTCTTCTGAAAGTTCTTCCACTACTTTTGTAGTTGCAGCTCCTATTACCAAATCTTCATCTTTCTTCTGATTTTCTGTTTCACCATAAATCACATCATATATAGAATTACAAGACAAAACACAGACTGGTTTTACAAACTTTGATAAAATGTCTTTAAACAGATCATAAATCATTGATTGCAAAACATGAATTAATGGAATTCTGCTTTGTAGAATTGCGTTAAGAACATCAAATGATGGCAAAATGAATTGTAAAAAAAAAAAGCAAAAAGCTTTGTTAAGGTCCGAAGAAAAAAACATAAATATTCGTTCTTCACAAGATAAACTTACAGCAATCGGAAAATGTTTCGTGTGTTGAGCAATTTTTTTTATTTTGAGAGAAATTTGTATCAGCTTTACGCTTATATTTTGCAGTATTATTTTGAGAACTGCCAGTTGAATTGCTGAATGATGCAGAAATTACTTTATTTTTCTCAAACCTATTTTTAACAATGGAAGTAGTAACTACATCTCCATTTACTTTAGGTACTTTATAACTTTCAATAGAGCCTTTTATCTTAACTCTCGAAGCATTTACTTCTTTAAAAAATGCAAGAAGTGGGTTCCATTGATCGAGGATTCTAGATAAGCATTTCTTTAAAGACAGCCAGCGTGAACACACATGTTTCAAAATTTTTCTCATTTCAGTATTATGCAGCTGTTGGAACTGTTTCAATTTTTCCTTTCTTTTAGAACTTCTTTCAAGATAATAATAAATATCAACAATGTGTTCATCCACATTTAATGGTAAAGAAGCTGCCCCTTTTTCAGCTGCTAAATTTAAGAGGTGACAGGTGCACCTCCTTATCTGCAAATCTGAATTTGCCTTTCTTAAGATGCCAGCAACACCAGTCTTCAAGCCTACCATTACTGGTGCATTATCGGCACCAAGTGCTAAGCAATTATCCAGAGGGACTGCATTTTCTTTTAAAGTTTTAATAATTAGCTGTGCTATATTAAAGCCTGTCGAATGTCCTTCTAAAGTGGGGACAGAAAGTAAACTGCACTCAATTTCTGAAGATTCTGGATTAAAAAAAGAAACAACAACTGGATACAGTTTTGAATCGATATTATTGCTTCCATCCGTAGAGAGGCAGAACGGAGCTGTTTTAATGCAATCAATAACTGAAGATTTATTTTTCAAACCCATTTCTTTAACAATTGCACCTGTTTTGGTCCTTGCACTTGAGTATTTCTTAGCGATTTCACTGTCGGGAAACATTCTTCTAAATAAAGCTGCAGCGTGATCCGATGCATTCAGTGGCAGGTTGTGCTCCAGTAAAAAGGCAGAGAACAGACATTCTGCATTAATCATTTTTTTGGTCTTTTGTTTCCGAAGAAAAATTTAATTTTTCGTTTTTTTCAAAACAACTCATGTTGTCCTTGTGTTTTGTGTACGCACATGTTTGAGAACATCTGCCCTTCCACCATGCGAAATAAAAAAATCGCAACGACAGATGGTACACATCGCAAATTTATTACATTTCCTTGAAGAAATAATGGAAGGAAAGTCAACCGTGTACGATTTTTGAAACGTGCACGAGTATTTCACCTTTCTCGCAGACATAACAAAAGACGATAATTTCTAAAACTATTTCCCAAAGGCACGTGTACTCACACAACTCAGGACAAGATGAACGAAATAACGAAAGAACATCCAAATAACGGCCCAACTGCCAAAGAATCCTCTTTGCAACGGCCTTGAGCTTGCTTTGTGCTCATTGGCTAATATATGCCAGATGACACGCAGTGGAGCTCGATGCCCATTCGAGAACTGGAGAACGACGTTTCTGGATACGTATGCTGTCACTCACAAAGCAGAAATTCTCATCTGATTCGCAAGGTTTTATTTTAGATATAATCTAGAGAAAATTCAGTTGCTGTCAGACGTCCAAAATCTTTTTTTTTTTTTTTTGTTCATATAACGAAGCATTAAGCCAAGTTCCATAAAAATCGTGAGAAATATTAAGAATAAGAAAAAGTCGGGAGAAATATGTTGTAAATCGGGTTGGCGGGAGAGCGGTCGAAAATCGGGAGTCTCCCGCCTAAATCGGGAGAGTTGGCAACTATGCTAATGGATCTAAGACTTTTCGCAGTCGCTGTTTCGCCTTCGCCGTTTGGCTGCCGCTGTTTCGCTGACAGGACAGTTCGCCGGCAGCTGATTCGCCGTTGGCCATTTCGCCGTCAAGCAGAAATGAAATACGTAATAAAGAAATTACATATGCTTAGTTAGAAATTACGTCAGTAGAGCAAAATTATCACATTTCATAATTATAGGCTAAATCCTTCCAAATAAACTCTTTATCTGGGGAAAATATCATCAGTTTCAGGTAATATTTTAGTAATTCTAGAAGATGTGTTTAATTGCAAAAGCTTTTTCCTTTTAAAATTTAAGACATCCAGATGCATATAATATGTAAACAAAATAATTAACTAAATAATAAGCTTAATAATATAGTATAGACATGTAAATTAAAATACGTCTCGACTATAAAATAGGTAAAGAAAAGTATTAAACTAAATAAACTTCATATGATATCGCAAGAAGCATTTAAAGAAAAACATGGCTTGACGGCAAATCGGTCCGACGGTGAAAGAAAGAACGACGTCGAAACGGCGGTAGCGAACAGTCTTATTCCGGATCTTGATACCCACCACAGCATATTTTCACTGAGATCGCTGTCCGAGTTCGATCCCACGGTTCACAAGACGAATTGCATTTAACCCATCAGTCAGGAATGCTGTGTTAGCCAAATAAAATGCTATCTCTTAACGCCAACTAAGCTAAACACAGGTTTGGACTTTGTCAGGGTGTCTGCGTCATGTGACTATGTTACCCGAGCCGCATGCTTTGGAGTAGATTGGCAAAGCTCTCACGATTAACTCCCCCAGTTTCGCGTCTAATATTCACGAATTCGATAACTGTTTACTCGATAATTGTCTTCGGTTTAGACTTTGGAACAGCTACATCGCTTCTGCCTGCTTTCAACTACTGATCTTAACTGCCCTCTACCACCTCAAAACGCTATTTTCGCATATACAGTCTATCGAAAAAAATCTGTTCATTTCGGTGTCTCCTACCTATTTTGATATTTTTGAAAAATATTTTGGTAAGACAGCGTGAGAATGAACATAAGTATGAAAAATTGCAATCTCCTACCTTATGTATCATTTTATTAACCTGTAAGGATCTTAAGTTTTACTAACGTTTATTTTATTTTAAATCTTTACTATCACTTCTTATTTTCTACTTCCGGCCAGAATTATAAGCGTTAAGGTTTTTATGCAAAGTTGTCTGGCGAACGCCAAGTATTTAAGTTGTGGCTTTTTGCCACGCGAGAGAGAGGAAGCAGTTGAGTCAAAGCAGGCCGCTTACCTTAGAAGTTACGCAGTTGCTGTTTGCCTTCCAGGCCAGAGGTTTTAATCCTCTTGATAACTTTTAAACGTATTGTAGTGTTCTCAGTTATCTGTACTACATACGCCTTCCTGTTAATATAAGGCCAATCTTCCACGTTTATTATTCTAAAGTTAATTAGAGTTTAGTTTTATTTTTATACTTTTACGTTAGACCCCGAGTAGCGGGTCGGTGTATTCCGAAGTACGAAAGTTATTGTATATAGAGAAAAATAAAGGGTTTTGTATACCCTTCGTCTGTATCCTGTCTACTTACCACAATTAGTGAACATAGCTTTAGTAAGCTCTCTGTTCCGAGTCAGGTCCTTGTATGTTCCCGAAGAAGGTAAGAAGGAACATTGAACCTGATAAACCTACCCTTTTATTCTATTCTTAAAAAGCTGAATTTCTGATATGCGACTTGTTTCAGCAATAGCGATGACATTTTATATTATATATACTACATCCTATCTTAATCATATTTACATTACATATAAAACCATACCAAAAGTGCAAAAAAAGTACCCTTTTGACTCCAATATGGACACTCCTTCCCGGACTTACGATGATGCCACCCCTTTGCAAAGTAGGATATGTCCCTTGGGGGTGAACAAGTAGGCGAACTCCAAATTCCGAGGAGATTAAGTCCCAATACTGATCTCTCTCAATATTTAAAGTCAGACGAATACCTGCGTGAGAAAAAACAAATCTGCAGATAGGAAGCGTTAAGAATTTTGTTCATGTATAAAAATCATTTGCATCGTTAATATGATAGGTTCTTGCAGGGGAAATAATCTCTAAAAGAGGTGATGAGAACTTTTCGTTGAGGTCCAAGTGACAGCTACGGTATATGCTGAATGAAAAATGTAGGCACGAATTTTGCAATAAAAGCAGATTTGGGCTTTAACAAGCGTTGAATAAAAGAACTGTTTAAACTACGTATTAGGGGTGTTCAAATGAAAAGGTATGAAATGACACGATAGATATACTGAAGTCTTTATTCACAAGTAATCACCAAAGGCCTGAGCGCAGCTATCCCACTCTTTCACGAGCCGAAGGATTCGTTCTTCCTAGAATTCCTTGAGCTGTGACAGGAGTCAATCCTCCATTGTGTCCTTCAGCTCGTTGTCTGAGTTGAAGCCCTTCCCTTTAAGATGTCACTTCTCACAAAGTCGTTCACCTTGTCGATGAGTTCGGCCGTGATTACGGATTTTACCAAGCCTTGTCTCGAGTCAACATTCAAAAACTCCAAGCCTTCACGAAAACTGGTACTCCACTTTCTCACTAACTTGCCGGACACAGTCTGCTCCATATACGGCCGTAATCCGACGATGAATATCGGACGGTTTAACCCTTTCTACAGTCAGCAATCTGACAACATCTCCTCAATCGTCGAATTTTTTAACGTGAGCGCCAAGATGTCATCACACGCACTGCCGCATCAATGGGACGGAACACACTTCTGCCTGCTTCACTCCGGCATCATGTGCGGCCGCTTGCGCATGTGCAGAACCACGTCGGACACTACATTCGCGTCCATAGATGTCTCACTATGTTATGCCAAAGTAGCATATTCAAATTTCAACCGGTTTGGTTGTTTCGACGTTTCGTACCTTTTCATTTGAACGCTCCTCATAATTTGAAGCTTAAATCAACAATACTATTAAGAAAACTAAACTTGCCTTCGATATATTCTGGTATATACAGCATACTTATCCATTACTGTGTTTATAAAGTGTAGATCGTATTTCCTAATTGTACATATATTTTGTCAGCTATAATTATCATTTTTTTCAGCTACTGGGAGAGCATTTTGTAAGAAAAACGATTTGCTATTAAAGTGACTGTTTGTCATGCAACAAAATATTTCTTACTCCAAAAATTTTGAATTTTTGGTAAAATCCTAGCATACGGAGCAGCCTTGGCGCGATTTTGAAAATTATCGCCAACACCAAAATGACGTCTTTAACTACTTATCGTATATGTCCCATTTACTGCTCATCATAAAGTCGCCAAAAGTAGCCAAATTCCTTGTGCACCGGATACTAGGATTAAACCGAATTGTTCAAACTCCATATAAAAACCCACCGGTTAGAAGAAAATCATTGATGCTGCTGTTAGTCATTTTGAAGACGCTATTTCTCATTTCAAATAACATGCTGCTGTCCGAAAGTTTTATTCAAAACGTTTCCTTCTTTTTAATTCTTTGCCCACCAGCGGCCGAGCGGTAAAGTCGCTGAACACTGGTAGTTCAGTCCGAGGTTCGAATCCCGCGAACGGGCTGGCTGCATGGGTGTTTTCGTGGTTTTCCCCATGTGGAACGTGTATACGAGCCAGTTTCCCTTAGAAAGTCCTCCACGAAAGGCATCCCTCCTCTTAGGCAGATAGACCTAGTGTACTTTGCCATAATTAAATACACCACACACCACACCACTTTTTAATTCTTTGTCAGAATCGTTCTAAAAGTGTTTAAACATCCTCTGTAAGAAAGAAATCAAAATTGAACATACCTACGAACAGCAAAATTTATCTCATCCTCATTCCGCAAATAATATAGGGTTAGCAGAAATGATTCATTCGTTTTAAAAAGGCTACATTTTCAAAAGTATTTTACGTACACATACGAAAAATATATGAAAACGATAAACTCACCAAGTTTGTATAGCCTCTAGAAATATTCAGTATGTGCCCCTTGGCAAACATCCAGACGATAATCGAGCTCATTCCATACATTTTGTAGCATTGTTTTCCAAATTTTCCTCCTGTCAATTGACCAGATGCTCGAAATACCATAAAAAAAAACTTTGTGGAAGATTCTGCGTAACGATTGCGTTTTAAACCGTACCATGTGTAGCTCCTGCAACCATTAAAGCCGGAGGATTACGCCCGTCGGGCAGATTTTTGCGTCAACATTGGAGGACGAAGATTTCTCCACCAAGATGATATTCAGCGATGAAGCAACGTTCCACTTATTCGAGAAACTTGTGACATAATGAAAACAACTTGGTAAGTTTGTCGCTCTTTTCATACATTTTTCATGTGCTTACCGTAATACTTTCGAAAATATAGCCTTTTCAAAATGAATGAATCCCCTCTCCATTTATGCTAATCCTATATTATATGCCATCCCAGCCTAGGCTACAGTACGCAAGACTTAGACAAGTCGTAGAAAAAAACATGGAAACATTTAAAAATAACACATTACGAATGATAACCAACGCATAATGGTTTGCCACAAATAGACAAAGAATTAAAAGTGACAAACATGCATAATCATATTCTTAACACCTCCCATAATCTATTTGAAGAAAATGAAAAATCACTACGTATTCAAGTACTCCTCGATTATGACCCGACGTTGGAAGATCTAGTTAAAAGACCCCAAAGCGATTTTTCACAAATTAAACTGGTAATCTCTTCAATCTGAAAGTGAAATGTGATAAATGGACATATTTTGTAAATATCCATCATACCTGGCAAAGCATGTTTATAGACTTTGTTTTATCAGTGTGAAAATCCTGATGACTAAAGCAGGTTATAAACATTATATCATATACAGTGTTAACATAAAATAATAATGTATGAATTACGACGGCGTGGCAAAGCAGGTAAATTGCAGCTCATGGCAAATCAGTAGGACTTCTGTTGTTTTAAAACGAAGTATTCAAATGCAACTTATAATTGAAGATTAAAGTAAAGTTAAATTGAAAGCGTTTGCTCTTAAAATTCGCGCATTTCACACGAATTGGTTAAATTATGAAAAGTAAGATTATGCTATTAAATTTTTCCAGATACCGCTTGAACAGTTTTATTTCATGATTTCAGTATTTCATTCCAAATTACGATCGAATGGAGTTGAAAAAGTCATGATTTCATTACCGCTAGATGGCGGCACACTGCCATCCATTTTTCTAGCCAAATCGGCTCGAGTATTTAATTTTTAGGTACACTTAATTATTAATAACAGCCAATGCTTTAAATCGAAATGATCAAATATTGGTTAAAGCAAAAGTTTAGTAATATTGGTTAAAGCAATAGTTAGTAGAAGTTGCTAAACACCAATTGCACCATCATACCAATTACTCCCTCAGACTCATACCCATATAGCCAAGCTGAGCCCAGACGCTTAGAAGGGTCATGCACTCTATCAAGGAGCACAGCCCAGTAAAATATGAAAAACTGTAAATACTTACCCTCCTCGTCGAGGACTTGGCATGCACCCATGAGCCTTGACATAAAAAAAAAAAAAAATTAAAAAAACTGAAACTTTATTGCTCTACACCAGTATTTCTTAAACTATGGGTCGCGACTCAAAATAGGGTCGCAAACAGAAATTTTGAGGTCACGAAAATTCAATTCGATAGATGAATTTAAAGAAACTGCATTCATAAGACTTATAAAGAAATTACATTAATGAGATTAGACTTACGTATTCAAGTACTAAGACATTACTTGAATACGTACGTAAGTCTAATTTGGACATTACATTAATCGATAATAATGAGATTAATTACCCGTTATTACCCGTGCAAAAGAATCTGTAAAACTATCTAGCGATTCAAACCTAAAACTTGAGTTTTCATAAAAGTCCTAGATGAATTCTGGATCGCAGTTCGAACTAGATTTCTCACTATTCCTGAAATGTCATTAAATGTTCTGCTCTCATTCAGCACCACATATTTTTATAAAACTACTTTTTCAGCTTTAACGCTAATTAAAATCAAATGTCGTTCAACATTGAAACATGTTGAAAATGCTTTATGTCCAGCAGTGTCAAAATAGTGTACCAACATTTAATTTGTTATGCGGCAGAAAATGAGCATATTTGTCTCATTAGAATTTTCTTTAATTTTCGTTTGCTTAAAATAAATCCTAAAATACATCTTTTTATACGTATATTGTTTACTAAAGAAGTAAATTATTTACGGGAGGATATTTATTTTTATATCTTTATTTCATATTTAATGTCCGGGTTTTCGAAAAAAATCTCAGTGATAAAAAAAGGTCGCGAACTGCAATCCAGGAAATCTGAAAGAAAGTTCGGTCAGGAAATCTGAAAGAAAGTCTAACTACCTCAGTTTAAACCAGTTACTGTGGCGCTCTCGTTTAAGAGCGCACACCGTTTTGTGTCGCCAGAATCAAGCCAAAAAAGTATATTCGTCAATCCCAAAGTAAGTTGCGCTGGTAAGATATTGGATGAAAGAGATGGGTTTATTTTATAAAATTGAAAATTTCATTACTAATATTTACTTATTTGGTTAAGGGGTTACTTATTTGGTTGGAAACCCAAAATCTTCAAAAAATTGTGATTTCAGATTTTTGCATTTTCAAATTCTCTACACTTTTATCTTTCTAAAAATACCATTCTTTAATCTCTATGAAAGTTAGAATAAAAAAAATCTAGTTTTAATTTGTCATCTGCTGCTTTGATCAGAGAGGATTTTTACACAAACACGCGTTTTTCTCCAAATGTAATTTTTTTATACTCGATGTACCTTTTCTCAGGAACTACTGCTCACAGGCATCTAAACTTTTTATGGCTTATTTATTAGGTTCCCTAATATTTACTGAAATGAGCTTTTTGTAATAAATTAAGAAAAAAAAAATTTAAAATTTTTTTGTGTGAGAAAAGTGCTAAATTTTACTATGCCTAACAAAATATTCTGTAATTTACTCTAAAATTCAAAATGTTTTAAAAGCTCATTTCAGTATAATCAAATAGGTATACTTTAATTACAGAAAAAATTTCAAGCTTGTACCTACAGCAGATTTTGAGAAAAGGTAGTACATCGAAAATGGCCAATTTAACATTGTCGATATAGGGTCTGCTGATACCCCTTAAACTAAAAACGCAGTAAATTATATTAAATATTATACATATAAAGTAAGAATTTAAGTTCCTGCTGTGGAGTGATATTCAGCGAAACAGGGTACTATACACAATGGGACTTTGTAAATCGAACACCAGTAACGCGATTCCTTCCTGATCTTACGTTTGTAGCAATGCGAACACCTTCGCGTAGGGTTGTTTTTTCTTTTTTTTTTTTTTTTTTTTCGATGTTCCAGGTATATAATCCGGAACATGATTCCCACCTAATTGGCTTATATTACGTCTAAACGGCCGAGTTTGTGTCGATTTATTTCTTCCAATTGGATACGTCGCAAAAGTGCCTTCAATAAATTTGAGCAAAACGTTGATACGCAATAATGTTCCATCTCATATCCACTTCACCCATTTCAATACACAAAATCGTGTCGCATCTCCATAACGAGTATACTCGTCATACACAGTTAACTGGTTAAGCATTTTCCCCTCCCCCCTCTTCGTTTTCTTTCTTTATTTTAAATCCTTGAGTACCCAAAGTTCCGAAAGTAGTTAAAAAAGAACTAATAAACATATCTAAGTATTTATCTAGGCATAAACTTATCTAAGAATACTCAACGGAATAAATGTGGATGATAGGCAAAATACAATGTTGAAATTTCATTGAATCATTGATTGCTGCTTACCTTGCGTTGTTCCTCCTTTCTTTATCATAGTAGGATTGTTGGTTTCCTTGTTCCGTATAGATAAAGTGTGACAGAGTCCAAATATGGGAGACGTCACATTGGTAAGTACTGTTCGAAACGCCGCTCTAATTATACATATAAAAAGAAAAAAGAAGCTACTTTAAATTTAATCCAACCATAAAATAAATAAATAAATAAATAAACAAATAAATAAATAAATAAATTCACATATTTCATCTGAATGCATTTTAGGTCCTAACGTGCGGATAAAAGAACTGTTTGAAAATTATTGCCATTATTTCGAATATAAAGAATTTTTAATTTTAAGGAAAATCTTTAACAATGCCGTAAAGTAACTGGAAAAGATATTTGTGTATATATTGTTAAAATTTACATTTTGAATTTCCAAAATATTAAAATACTAAAAAAGATCATACAATACTAAAGATAAAAAAGGATACCAAATTTTTTCCGTTAATTCACATTCGGTTTGCAAATTTATATGCATAGATATTATTCTAGATCACATTATTATTTTTTATGAAACTAATGAAAATGTTCTTCCCATTTATACTTCTTCCTTAGTGTTCAATAAAAGTTTTAATTACTTTATTTTGTAGAGACATTACGTATTTTTTTTTTTTTTTTCGAAGCAGAAGAGATGAAAAATCAGCAAAAGCCTTCGCCGGGAATCGAACCACGGACCTCTGGAATACCAGCCCAGTGTGCAGAACCACTACACCACGAAGGCACGCTAGGAAAGCGGGAGAAATACCTTATAATTTAATTAAATATTTTCTTCATAAATCATTTCCTCAATCAACATTGTTTATTAACATATACCCTTACTTTTTATTTACTATTCACGGTCTAATAAATTGAGTTGAAAAGTTTTTAACAGAAGAATTTATTTGAACCTATTCAATAAGAGCATTTTCTATTATTTATTGACATTATTTGTTGAAGAAATCCTACAACTGTAGACAATAAAATTTTTTTAAAAAAATCCCCAACCTATATAATTTTCGAGCCATCTATATTTTTTCAGTTTTAGAGTGTAAAAATGTTGAAATTAATTACAGATATTTCAGGGCTGGAACTAAAACTTGAAATAGTTAAGTTGTGAAGATTAACCAAAGTGATTTTTCCTGATATAATAAACTGAAATAAACTGAAATGAACTTCAAATGAAATAATAATAATTGTCTGAAAGCCACTTTAATGAAGAAAATAGGTTAAATATGATTAGTCCAGAAACACATTAATTTTTGGCATTTTGCGTTGAAAACTGTAAAAGGCTCTATCATTTTTCAAATTGTTGCCACCGAATATTATCGGCCTGTATTGTATTTAAAGATATTAAATAATGAAGAATCTGTATAAATGTATGCATGTTTCTCGCATTGTGATAAGACAACGGTGTCTAGAGCCATCAAATTTCCAACACCGTAATCCTCCAACTGAACATGGGCATCTGGAAGCCCAAATTTGAAATTCGGAATTCGTTTTATTATCTATTTCACATTTTGTAAAACTTTAACGAATTTTTGATTCACAGACTCAACGATTTCAAAGCAAGCAATGGCAACACGGAAAAGAAAAAAAAAATATCTCCAAGCATGCGAAAATGTGTATCGGAAATTCTAAAGATATGCTCTTTTTAAATAATTTAGTGATATTGCTGTTGAATTGAATTTTATGGTTTAAGTTCGAAGAACATGGTATTTAATAAACAAAGGTAACACAAAACGTTCAAAAAAGTCCCTTTAGGCGTAATATAAAATCTGAAAACTTCCGGATTTTTTAAAAAATTTTTACAACAGTAGCACGATAATATGCAGATGTTATTTATATATATATATAATGCTTTGTCATAATTAATTATTTCTAAACCTACGATAGCCCTATTGTTTTCATTTTTTTTTTAAACATGTGGAAGTATATAAAATTTATTACGTATAGAATGAATGTGTTGCTTCAAATGTATCGATAGATTTTCCTCTCACAAACACTATATACTACCAAATACAGTTCCTGTTTGTGTAATTTTAACACAGTACTTTCATTTAAAAAAAAAAAAAAAAAAAAAAAAAAAAAAGACATTTTGAGACATTTTTTTATGATTTCCTTTTACGGAAAGATTTCTCCACGTAATGATAGTATTTTCTTAGCGCTTAGATACAAAATAAAATATCGCCTAGGAATCAATACCATATAAAATTTACGATAGGCATCTCCTGAGTTGACCGCATGTGTGTTTTGAAATTGCAAGTGAGACCTATTATTTTGCTAAATCTTAGAGAAAATGGAAAAATCTGAAACTGAGTATTTTTCTTACGAAATAAGCACGCAACCACTGGAAAAGTAGATTATAGATTATACTCGAAAAGTGCAATTTTGGAAATTTGAGATAGCTGTGACCTTGTATTTTCTCTCATAGAGACTTTGTAAGTCATCCGCTAATCTCCTTTATGTATCCTTAGAAGAAAACAGTCTTGTCGTAGTCAGCTTTAGTTTGAAATAGATTTCTCTTAACTGGAATGGGGATTCCTGTTTTAAGGAAACTTTTATCAGCTCTACAGTTAAAATACTTTCAATTTTTACTCCAAATGGGCAATTTGCCCTGAAGGACTATTAATTTCATTTTGGCATTTTGCGTCGAAACTTTTAAAAGGCAAACGTCGAAACTTTTTGTATTCACATTTCAAATCGTTGCCATTATATATTATCGCCCTGTCTTATATTTAAAGAAATTAAATAATGAAGAATCTTCATAAATGGATGTCTGTTTCTCGCATTGTGATAAAACAACGGTACCTAGAGCCATCAAAATTTGAATAACGTAATCTTCCATAGGATATAGGCATGTGGAAGCCCTAATTTGAATCTGAAATTTGTTTTACTATTACCGATTTCAGATTTTGTAACACTTCAACAATTTTGATTAAAAAACTAAACGATTTCAAAACGAGCCATGGCAACAATGTACGAAAAAAAAAAACATTTTTATCTCCAGCGCGCGAGCTTTGTATCGGAAATTCTGAAGATAGGCTCATTTAAAAATTAATTTGCGATATTGCTGTAGAACTGAATTTTATAGTTTGAGTACGTAGAACACGATATTTAATAAATAAAAGTAACACACAAAACACGTTAAAAAAACGCCCCTTTAGGCGTAATGTAAAATCTAAAAGCTTTCAGATATTTTTTATATGAAATTAATTGATTTATACTTCGTAATTATGTTTAAAGAAGTATAAAAAGCACCATTAAAACGCCAAAATTATTTTTCAATATGAAATTTTTTAAGAAATTTAAAAAAAAAAAAAAAAAAAAAAAACTCCCAAAATAGATAAAAATCATTTATTTTCAGACTCAACTTGTTCCTTATTACTCTCTATTTTTTAAATTTTTTGTTTTTGGAATTTTTAATATATAAATATTTGAAGTTCAAGTCACTTAATTATACAAAATTCTTTTCTGGCACCATATATGTCAGTGTCATCAAAACTTTTCTCGTCTTCTATAACAAAATTCAAATAAAAAATCTGAAGGGGTACGAAATATTCTTGCAGTTCGTAAAGCATCATCGTTACTTTCTCAACGAAAAAGTACACATAGCAATACTCACGAGCAAATTACATCATGCAAAGAATTGCTATTTTTCTGTAGCTTCCAGACACCGCCTGTAGGGTCGATAGTTAACTTTTAATTTAGGTTAAAATAACACGGCGAACAAATATTAATTTAGAAATCAAACAACAAATACCAGCGTCATATTTGCAAATTTTCACAGGACTAGTTTTGATGGTTTTACGGAATCATCAACCTCAGCTGCCAAAGTGCAAATGAACGAGATAAGATATAGTGAAAAGATAAGATAAAATAAAAATAGCTGGGAAGGAGTTAAGCTACTGGCGCCATCTATTGATGAAGCAAGAAAACTAAAACACAATTTCCTTAAAGGCTGAAGGCAAAGACCGATTGAAATTAGGGTCGTTAACTAGAACAGAAAGATTTTTTGAATGTAAAACGCCTCTAGAAAATTTAGAAATTCACCAACGGAAGATGTTTTTGAATAATTGTGGCTGCAGAAAAATGGAAAGTGTGATTTTTGAACCAACAATCCTGGGCAACAGAGGACTTTTGTGTTTTCTTTTTCCTAACATATGCCTCATGTTGTTTAACGCGAAATTATAAGGCTCTCTTAGTTTAACCAATATAAATTAAACCACACTGGCAAGGAATCCTGTAAATACCCCAGGAATTCAAATCCGGAATGGGGTCCTTAGGTATGGATCTAGGAATTCTATTAATAAAAGAATAAACGACCCGAAAGTTAAATTTCTGTAAAATACGGGCAGTTTTATAGTTAATTGAAGGAAAGAAAGGAATGACAACAGAATTCTTATAATCTTCTAAAACAAGGGTGTGCCTTTTGGTGGGTTCCACCTAACGTTCCACCATCTCAACACACCAAAAGGAAACAGCCTTTCCTTTACTCCCTCATTTTCCTATCCCTGCTTCCCTGCCAGAATGAGTTTTCAGTTTCAAGCCAAATAGAATAGAAAATACTATTTAAGCTGAGATGTACACTACTTCAGACAGAGCGTATTCTGCCGTTCGACCACGTCGTTCGTTTCAAGCTAAAGCTTGCTATAGTGCGGCCGTGAATATTAGTTGCCAATTAATCTACGTCGGTGATTTACCAACAGCCAACTATGCGTTAAATATCTCTGTGCGGCTTCGGCTGATTATTCAACTTAGAATTAATTTAGTTTTACGTTTCTACTTTTAAGTTAAAGCCATAAGTGCTGGCTATTTGCATGCCCAAATGGGGCCATCTGTGAATTTATTTGAGTTAAAATAAAAGGGTATTTTAGCCCTTCTTTTGCTATTGTTACTCACACAACAGAACTTAGCAAATAGTCATTTCACAGTTCTAGAAGGTTCTGGCATCCAAGTAACTTTATTTTAGCTAGAAAACTAAATAACGACTGTTCGTTTGCATAATACATAATGCACCTGAAATAAATTTCTTCTAGCCCAAGCATAATGATGAATAAAATGTGTGTTAATTTTATTTTCATCTGTTGCGCAGTTTTATGACTTAACTTTTCTGTACAATGGCTATGACGTCATACATGTATATGCATTTTGCCCGAAACCTATGAGTCATAGAGATATATGGATCATGGTCATTTTAATGCATTCAGAGCCAGGAATTTCAGTCACAGAGTTTATACGATCTTGATTGAATACGCTGTACGTTATGAAATATCCTAGTTAATGTTTGTTACTTTCAGAGTTTTTGAATGAAAAATTTGTTCCAAACTTAAAGAAATCAAAGAAATCTGATTTCACCCCCCCCCAAAGGGCGTTTGCCTAGAAGGGTTATTAATTTCATTTTTGAAAACTTTAAAAGTCTCAATCACTTTCAAATTGTTGCCACCCAATATTATCGCGCTGTACTATATTAAAGAAATTAAATAACGAAGAATCTGCATAAAGGTTTGTATGTTCCTCGCATTGTAATAAAACAACGATGGCACGTAGAGACATCCAATTTTGAAAAACGTAATCCTCCACCTGAATCTGGAAGCCCAAATTTAGAATTCGTTTTATTATCTATTGTATATTTTGTAAAGCATTTACGAGTTTTTGATTAACAAACTCAACGATTTCAAATCGAGCAATGGCAACACTGTATGGGGGGGGGAATTTTTATCTCCAGCGTGCGAGACTGTGTATCGGAAATTCTAAAGCTATGCTTTTTTAAAATTATTTTGCGATATTGCTGTTGAACTGAATTTTACGGTTTAAGTGTAAAGAACGTGATATTTAACAATTAAAGGTAACACACAAAACGTTAAAAAAAAAAACGCCCATTGGCGTAATATAAAATTGGAAAGTATTCGGAAAGTATTTAATATTGAACTTACTTATCATCATAGCAGTCTTTACTGTTATAGGTACACTGGATGATGAGATCGGATGCCCTGTGTCCGTACCTGGAGAGGTTGTCCTTAGTAATTCCTAAATTCAACCAGGTGTCGCTGAGATCTGCAGCACTTTGTTCAATTAACTCATGCTCAGACTGATAGCAAATGGATAAATTTTTGACAGATTTCGGAATTTCTATGTTACTTGCGTTGATTCCTATTTTTGCACCTTTTGTCTTCTTAGATGTTAGCTCAAAATAAACCTCTGCGTATGACTGTGAAAAAAATCATTTATATTAAAAACAGAAAAAATACATTTTCTAAAAAAATTGCAAATATTAATAAATAAGTAAACATTTAACAAATTAAGTTTTTTTTTAATATAACCCATTTTAATTAGCAATGGTACAAAAATATTTTACAGTTTAACAAATCGTAACTATATTTTAAAAAGCTGATAAGTACACCACATGACTACTTTGTACGAGATATTAAATTATGCGCATTTTTTCCTGCATTTCATTTAAACTTAATTCCTCGAATTTCATTACAGATTTCTCATTCAATTATGGTAAAAAAAATTAGCATTAGCCGCATTTAAACAACTAAATTGTAAGGATTTTAAGTTTGACTAACGTTTATTTTGTTTTAAGAATTTACTGTCTTCCCTATTTTCCACTTCCGGTCAGAATAAACGCGTTAATTTGTTTATGCAAATTGTACTTGCTAACCCTTAAATATTAAAGTTGTGGTTCGCCAAGAACAGAGTTAGGGAGAGAGTGATCCTTTTTGCCACTTATTTTCACGCGTGCTTTCAATCAGTTGCTTTTAAGGTCTTAGGAGGAAAAGTCAGAAGCCTTTAAGGTCACAGGTTTAGTTCTCTTGATATCTAATCTCCCTATTCCCAGCCAGGACATTAGACGTTCTCTAAACAGATTAGAAGATCAAGTAGTCCTTATAAAATTGATGATAATTCTACAACTATTGCATGCAGAAAGGCATAAAAACCTTAACCGGAAAGATAAGAACAACATAATTCAATCATTTTTAAAGCAAAAAATGCGCAAATTACCAACAGAATTAAAAAAACTAAGCTCACGAGGCCGAATAACAGAATGGGTTTTTATATATATATATATACTTTTGGTCGGCTGATTGCAATCAAAAAGGGAGGTGTACCTCTACATGTTATAGCCTTCCCTCATACAGAATTTCAACGTCCTGAGACTATTTCTTTTCTAGTTATGCGAAGTACATACATACATACACAGACGCCACAATACACTGACTACCAATAAGTATTTGGACACCTATGCAAATGACGATATCTGGGTCCTAAGGTACGTCACGGACTCCGCCGGTATATATCGTGTAGGAAACAGCATCGGCTTTAGTCGCATGCAAGATGCATCGCAGATCGGAGCTCTCTGATTTCGAGAAAGGTATAATTATCGGGTATCACAAATGTGGCCCATCATTAAGGGACATATCTAGCGATCTGAAGTACCCAAAATCGACAGTGGCCTATGTGATTAAGAAGTGGAAGGTGAGCGGTGATTGTCGGAATGTGCCCCGAGTCGGCAGACCAAAGAAACTGGGAGATAGAGACCGACGAGTGCTGTCCAGAGAAATTCGGAAGAACCGCACCCAACCGATGGCCCTCATCCGCGAGGAGTTTCAACACGCATCCGGGAGTATTGTTTCAATGAATACCATTCGTAAGGAAGCACATCTGCTTGGTTTTCATGGTCGTGCTGCTGCCCATAAGCCTTTGATCACAAAGTCCAACCGCGTTGCTCGGTTAATGTGGTGCAAAGCACATCGAAATTGGACCGTAGATCAGTGGAAACGGGTTCTTTGGATTGACGAATCAAGGTTCACCCTTTAACGTTCGGATGGCAGGGTCTGGGTCTGGCGTCTACCTGGAGAACGTCTCCTTCCAGAATGCATTGTGCCAACAGTCAAGTTCGGTGGAGGTGAAATTATGGTCTGGGGGTGTTTCTCCTGGTATGGGTTGGGACCCTTGGTCGCCATTCATGGTAAGCTCAATTCCGATGCCTACTGCACTATTTTGGATGACAATGTGCTTCCTACGTTGTGGCAGTTTTACAGGTTGGAACCCTGTTACTTTCAGGACGACAATGCCAGTTGTCATGTTTCGACGTTAACCAAGGCTTGGTATGGGTGCCAATGGAGTTCATCGAATGGACTGGTCTGCCCAGAGTCCAGACCTGAACCCTATCGAGAACCTCTGGAACGAGTTGCATGGCCGAATTCAGGGGTGCACTCACTACCCGTGCAAAATCTGAGAAGGAACTTCTATGTCTTCTCCAAGATGTGTGGAAGAAAATACCACTAGCTGTCATACAGAGACTTTTGGAAAGTATGCCCCGAAGGGTCCACGCTGTAATTACCTCTCGCGGAGGCTCTACCAACTATTGATTTTGAATAAAGTTAGTTTTTCTTTTCTATCACAGGTGTCCAAATACTTATTGGTAGTCAGTGTATAATCTCTTTCGAATCCATTTTAAGTCAGTTTGATAATTCGTTTGGGGAAAAGAGTCCTTTATTCTTTCGTCATATACATGTCATATTAAAAGCACAGGAAAACCCGGAGCAGTGTCGATGCGTGATGAGATAAAAGCACAAGGAAATGACGGAACACTGTAAATGCGGTGATCTAAAGAACTTGGCAGTCGAGGCAGTTTTAATTCCATTTTTATTTTCAACTCATATTTGTGGCCCAATCACTTGGCACTCTAGTTGTGCCTTTCCACAGAAGATTTACATTTTTGATATTGTTGAGGAAAGCAAGCCAGCGAAATTACATCTTAGCAAAGTAGAGAGCAAAAGCTGAAGTGCTTAGTTATGAAGGATGGAAGCACGCGAAGAGAAAAGTTTTGGTTTACAATTCGGTGATTGGTTGTCAAGAGGCATCTGGTATTAACGGTTACGTAAGATCGCATGATTAATTTGAATGACGCAATGCAGGTAAGTTATTACGATTTTAGAATAGAGAGGAAGAATTAATGTTTATAGTTATATTATAATTCTGATTCATACATTTTTTATCTTACAACATAGACATACATACATAGACGCCACGAAAAAAATCCCTTCTGAATCCATTTTAAGTAAGTTTTATAATTTGTTTGGGGAAAAAGTGTCCTTTATTCTGTCGTCACTTAACAGATATCAGGCAAAAACATCGTTAAATTGCATTCAATAGCGGTCAAATGAATATTTTCGTTGATATATGGTACCCAGAATTTTTTGTGAATACAATACTTCCTTTACTTCGTACAAGGAAGTAAAAAGAAAACAACAATTCTTAAGCAATGTGTATATTCAGATGCTTAAAAATCTCAGTGTACATAATGACATATTTATCCATTGTCAAAGAACTCAGCCAAAAAGTAAAATATATATTTTTGATAAGTTTATTATTATTACTATTATCTGAATTCTTTCAGGTACACATATAAAGTTTTTACTTAAATTAACGACTAATTTGTCGGCGAATTCGTTATACAAGCACTGCATGTAGCTTACTATAAGAATATAACTGCAAGGTATGTACTGTCGAGAGATTACTCTTAGGTGAAAGAGTGTCAAATAAAATATGCTCTTGTTTCTTCCATTCCATTCGTGATTCGACGCCCGGGACGTTCGACGCAGGTGACTTTCATGTTTATATCTATAGAGGGTGCGTACAAATTTTTAGAATGATTTCGATAAAAAAAATTTTTAAAAAGCAAATCTTTCGGAATACAATTTTTTGGCAATAGCTGATTATCTAGAAGCGTCTGGTATTTTAAAATATATTCTTTCAGGATAGAATGAGAGATTCATGGAGGGATTCATGGAGATTGAAGCTGTGGCTTGAAGGATATGTTTTTGCGCTAAATAAAGAGAAATATCGCTATTCCATAATTAAAAAACATTGTGAAATGCATGTTTTAAAATTTTAATATATAAAAAAGCAACATTATTATAGGAACTGTCAAAACTGTCAGTCATTATTTGTACATGGAAAAGAACGCTACAAACGAATACCCAGAAAAAGGTACTTACTATTTCTAATGTTCCTATAGTTAAATCGCTGGTAACAACAGAAAATTCGCCGACGCAGAAATCAAATGAAAAGTCTTTAAATACATCTGTAGCAACTCTGAATAAAATAATAAACCAAGATTTACAGCTTAAAAAAGGTAAAATAACATAATATTCGCCGGCTTTTGCAGAGGACTGCACCCCCCCCCATAAAAATGTTTATTTATTAAGTCTTAGGTAAGTTAACTAATTAGTCAAAAGGGCGTTAGCTCGGAAGGGCTATTAATTTCGTTTTGGCATTTTGCGTTGAAAACTTTAAATGTCCGTTTCACTTTTGAGATTGTGGCCACCAAATATTCTCACCCTGTTTTATAATTAAAGGAATTAAATAATGAAGACTCTGCATAAGTGTATGTATGTTCCTCGCATCGTGATAAAACAACGGTATCTAGAATTTTGAATAACGTACGTCTCCACCCGAATATGAACATCTGGAAGCCCAAATTTGGAATTTGTTTTATTATCGATTTCATATTTTGCAACACTTTAACGAATTTTGATTAACAAACTCAACGATTTCAAAGCGAGCAACGGGAACACTGTACGGGAGGAAAAAAAAAAAAAAATGGTGTAATATGAAATCTGAGAATTTTCAGATTATTTTTATTTTATTATTTTATTTATTTATTTATTTTTTTTTTTTTTGTGTGTGTTTTTTTTTTTATTCATTTGTTCCTTTTTATTTCTAGCTAAGTTTATATAAATTGTTCAAAAAAAAGCGAAATAAATGTATAGACTCTAATCACAAATATTTTCTTGCCCGAAATTGATGCATGTGTCAAACTCTAAAAGAATATTTCAATTTTTCACTTAAATTCAGATTTATCAGTCTTTACATCTGAAACAAAATGAAAGCTACAACTCGAAACAAATTCAGAGAATACAGATAACACTGCCAGACACAAAGAAAACTAAAACAAATCAATAAACTCTCTAAAATTACTTCTCGTTCGAGAGTGACGTCATACTTCATGGAGTTCGTAATATTTCATAATATTGTTACGTTTTTTTCTTCTGACACTACGTTTTACATTATTTCCTTCCGGGTTCGAGCAGATTTGGAGTGAATAATGACAATACCACTTGATGAAGTATCGAAACACACTTTATTGGCCAGTATTGTCAGGACAGCTCCAAAACACGTTTTTACAGTCGTCGATGAACTACTATAAACACGCTGACAAGATCCACGACACAGCCTCCAGGTTATCATGCTATCATGGTGGAGACAGCTTCACTGCAAAGCAATAGTGTACAGCTCCCGACTCTGCTTGGTCGTTCTCGGAACTCCACGTACTCTCGAGACTCTCCACGCTACAAGTCGCGATGCACTCGACTACACACACAGCACGGCTCCTTACTCTTCGGTTCAGTTGTTCCCGGAGCTTAACACGCTCTCACGACGATGCACTAACCGCGATACACTACGAGACTCTTTCGGGGCACTCGACGACCCACTCGGTACTCGCTGCGCGACTGTCAACTCGATCGATTCCGCAGCGACTGACTCGTTAGACGAGACAGGGTTTATAGAGCTTTCGGCTGGTGTTCGAGAACATTCTGGGCTAAACCGGTAAGAATTCGTTCCAGAAGGTTCTCCATTCGTCCATGGCATATCGCCAAACCGGCGATTTCTCGTCAAATGTGGCAAACCTGCCTTCCTTGCTATTTTATGGCAACCCTAAAACTGCTTTGCGGGGAAGTTATCTCGCCTGTACATTTCGTAACACTATCATTTGTTTTTTATGAAATAATCGCATAGCTTTCAGTTAATACTCGGGAAAAGTTTTCGCTCAGCAATAAAGTAATCAGTTAAATAAATACGGTTTCAATAATATTTCATTAATTACAATAAATTATCATATCTAAACTTCTGAAATAGTTATTGATTTGAAATAGCTGATTAAGTATCATTTCTGAGACACTTACAATTTGATTGGTTTTGACTGATTTCCGTTGCCATCGGCATATTATTAATATAACTAATTATGGCTTATTATTAATATAACTAATTATGGCTTATTATTAATATAACTAATATGGCTTATTATTAATATATTAAATATAATGTCTAAGACTGATACATTAATTTAAGTTTGTTTCATGCGATTACAGAAAATGGTTTTAAACGGATGTACTGATCTATACTAGCATACTATTCAAAGATATTGGAAAGCATATACACTAACGATATAAATGCCAAAATGTTTTAAAATTCATTGGAATATATTTTCATTGTTGCTAATTCAGAATTAGCAAACTTTTTTATGCTTTAACTTCTAAATACGATTCAATCTCCAGTGAGCGGGCAATGATCGAACAGTCTATATCTGCTAAATGGGAGAGCACTAACCTCAACTTAGTGCCTTCGGAGATTGAAGAACTGTCTATTAATGGAAAATATCCATTAACGGAGGCTTGACTGTAACTCACTAATAGCCGATTCCAAATCATTCAGCTTAAAAAATCATTCTTAATTATAGTCTGTGTAATTAAACAAACGGTCATGAGATACCTAGATATATTGGCAGATCAAGAGCACCCTAATGCCCTCAGGGTAAAAAGATGGCGACGGATACTTCATGTACGATAATGCAATTATACACTGAAGTGACAAAAGTCATGGGATAGCAATATACAAATATACAGATGGCAGTAGTATCGCGTAGAAAATGTATAAATGCGAAGTGCTTTGGCAGGGCTTTCATTTGTGTTCAAGTTATTCATGTAAAGAGGCTTTGACGTGATTATGGCCGCACGACGAGAAGTAACAGACTTTGAACGCGGAATGGTAGTTGGAGCTAGACGCATGGGTCATTCCATTTCGGATATCGTTAGGGAATTCAACATTCCGAGATCCACAGTGTCAAGAGTGTGCCGAGGGTATCTAATTTCAGGCATAACATCCCACCATGGACAGCACAGTGGCCGACCACCTGCACTTAACGACCGAGACCAGCGACGTCTGCGTAGAGTTGTCAGTGTTCACAGACAAGCAACACTGCATCAAATAACCGCAGAAATCAATGTGGTATGTGTCCAATAGGACAGTGCGGTGAAATTTGTCTTCCTTGGTCTATGCCAGCAGAAGACGACTCGAGTGCCTTTACTGACAGCACGACATCGCCTGCAGCGACTTTCGTGGGTTCGTGAGCATATCAGTTGGTCCCTAAATAAATGGAAAACCGTGGCTTGGTCAGATGAGTCACGATTTCAGTTGGTAAGAGCTGATGGTAGGGTTTGAGTGTGGCGCAGACCCCACGAAGCCATGGACCCAAGTTATCAACAAGACACTGTTCAAGCTGGTGGTGGTTCCATAATGGTCTGGGCTGTTTTTACATGGCATGGACTCGGTCCTCTGGTGCAACTGAACCGATCATTGACTGGAAATTGATACCTTCAGCTACTTGGAGATCACTTACAGCCATTCATGGACTTCACGTACTCAAACAACGATGGAATTTCAGTGCGCCACGTCACCGGACCACAATTGTTCGCGATTGGTTAGAAGAACATTCTGGACAATTCCAGCGAATGATCTGGCCACCTAGATCGCCCGACATGAATCCCATCGAACATTTATGGGACATCATCGAGAGGTCAGTTCGTGCCCAAAATCCTGCACCGTCAACACTTTCACAATTATGGACGTCTGTAGAGGCAGCATGGCTCAATATTCCTGCAGGGGACTTCCAACGACTTGTTGAGTCCATGCTACGTCGAGTTGCTGCACTTCGCCGGGCAAAAGGAGGACCGACAAAATATTAGGAGGTATCCCATGACTTTTGTCACTTCAGTGTACATCGTGTCAGAAGTGTTCAAAATTGGTTTGCTGAATATCAATCTGATTTCCAACACTTTCCTTGGCCGCCGCATAGCCCGGATCTTATCCGTGCAAAAGGTGGACCAATAAAATATTGATCTTGGGTTTCTAATTCATTGGCCAGTTTTTGTATATACTGTTATTACGGTCTTTTATATAATTAATAATACTTTTTATATTGAATTTATTTCATTTCTATAAAAGATAGTTTTTATAAGCATTCGTAATTACCTTCTTAATGATGTTGAGGTTGCAAACTGTAAGTGCTGGAAATTCTACTTGATTTGCATCCTTCTCTTCTGTGATGGTCACTTTAGGACTGCTGGCGAACATAGTAATGAGGTAGCTGCAATGGTAACAACAACCACTGAGCGACGACAAGAATATAAATATCCAAAAAACTTTCCGTCCAGTATTGCGGCTACTTGTGATTTTGCGCACACCATGTGTGGTAGTTTGATCGACATAAGCAGATATGAGACTTTGGTAGCTGGATGTTCCGCTCCATGCCCTACCCATAGCGGTGGCTGGGCCGCTTTAATCACCTGAAAAACAATTAAAAAAAAAAAAGAAGACAGGAAATAAGCTAAGTTTTCTCATCGACTTTTATGATTCAATTTAAAATTTTACTTTCGTTTTTCAGATTATTAATCACAACCACAACAACTACAATACAGGGTTAACATAAATAGTCATTCGTTTTAATAAGGCTTATTTTCAAAAGTATTTTACGTACACCCAACAAAAGATATATGAAAAGAACCACAAACTCACCAAGTTTATACACCCTCTACAAATATTCAGTACGTGCTTTTTTGGTGACACAACACACCTCTACACGATAATCGAGCTCATTCCATATGTTTTGCAGAATTGTTGTCTTCAGGGCAACCTTTGTAGAATTGTTTCCATCCTGTCGATTGACCAGATGTTCGGAATACCACAAAAAAAAAAAAAAAAAAAAAAAAAAAAAAAAAAAACGTGTGTGGAAAGAAATTGCGTCAACGGTTGCATTTTAAAGCGTACCCTATGTTGCTCCTGCAACAATTAAAGCCGGAGGATTACGCCCGTCAACTCGATTTTTGCGTCAACATTGGAGGACGAAGATTTCGCCAAAAAGATTATATTCAGCGATGAAGCAACGTTCCACTTATTCGGAAACTTGGTGGAATAGTGAAAAACACTTGCTGAGTTTGTGGTTCTCTTCATATATTTGAAATGTGTGTACCCGTAATACTTTTGAAAATATAGCCTTTTTAAAATCAAAGAATCATTTATGCTAACCTTATTTTATAAGACGCTAAATTTCTGCTATTAAAATTATTTCTTCTTCACAATGCCACACAACGCTGAATTTCTGCTATTAAAAATATTTCTTCGTGTATTAAAGCTAGAAAAGTGATGTCAGTTCTTCTGTCTTTTGCCAAAAGTAAAAGTTTCGTCAAATTGGTAGTGTCGCGGTACTTTCCTTATTCAAAATTATGCATTTTCAAGATGACAGTATGGTGAGAATGCTTTGAACGCCTGTGTTATAAAATAATACCATAGATTATGAGATTACTACTGCTAAGCCAGTAGTGGTAGAAATGATGCTTCTTCGACCTTTCATCGACTTGCCAAAGCAAAGACTCGATGAATTGCTTGCAGCAGAAACAACAGCTTCTTCGAACCTTCATCGACATGCCAAAGCAAAGAATTAATGAATTGCTTCCAATGAAAACAATTTTGCATTGTATGTCATCATTTATGATGCACTACTTGATGCTGGATTTATGGACTCTTGATTTGTTTCCATTGTTTCTGTATCATAGAAATGCTCCAGAATGTTCATATCAAAAGGCCCCCGAGCCAGAGCGTTGCTTTAAAGTTGATTAAATGTTTTTCGATCTTACTACGAGGTAACTAAAGACTGATGACACATTGCAGAAATACTTCTATACTCTCAAGATGCTCGAGAATTATAAAAGTAGTGTACATAATCCGTGAAAATGTTTCCTTAGCACATACCCTATCAGCGATTCTTCAAACAAACAGTAAGATATTTTTTATGGCTATTCTCTAGCCGTAATCAAAGTCAGATAATTCGGAATATGCAGCCATACTAAATAATCAGCTGCACTGAAATGAATAGCAGACTTTGCAGGTTTCTTCAATTTATATCCAGCGCTACCACATATAACGCGCTAGTTTAATTTATCTCTTTGTGGTATAATGCGCTTTATACATGCACCTCCTTTTGGTTTAAACCCTTGCTTTCCACTGCAAACCTTATTTCATATAATGTATTTCCATGTGGCATCACTGTTCACAAGGTTATTATAAATTAATAGCGCCTATCTTCTGCATGTAATCAGAAAACCTTTGGGCCTCAAAGGTAAAATGGCGGTATTTCCTCGTGTATTTTCCCCTTTTAACTGATGATGATGAGGAAGAAGAAGAAGTATCCGCTAAATGGGAGAGCAGTAACCTCAACTTAGCGGCTTCGGAGATTTAGACACTGTCTATTAATGAAGAATATCCATTCACGGATGTTTGACTGTAATTTTGAGGAAGTTTTGATGACGATGACGAAGACGACGAAGAAAAATCAAAAGTCGATTTTAGCTTATAGATGATATTATTCATAAAGGTCTACAGAATGAAATGATATGCATGTAAATTCTAACTTTAATTTCGAGACAAAGAAATATGAGTAAGTTTATTTTTTTGAGAAATGTAAATGTGATATCGTATTTAAAACAAAGGAAAAAAAAAGGTTGGAAATTGTAGAAATTCCAAACTGCAAATTGTTTCAATGGATAACTTTTGCAAGTAATATAGCATCTGAAATTTTAGTTTCCGTTCATGCTGTGTTAGTTGTTACATACTATTTGTTTGGTGCAAGATGAACGTGAGTTTTTCCGAAGCAAAAAAATTTTATATATATATATATAATTTTTATTTTGCTTTTATATACATATATATATATATATATATATATATATATATATATTATATGATTGAGCATTACTTCGCAACGCATCATTACGGATAAATTGTCGAAGCATTTAATCTTCTCACGTATCACTGAATCCAACAAGTCAACGATTTTTTGCTTGGTAACTTGATTTCGAGAAACTGAAAGCTTTTTGATCAGCCAGTATTTTTTATCTGGTACAGAGAATTTCATTACTTTTTTTCGTTTTTTCAAATTCCTTAATAATCAATAGAATTTATTTTTCTTTGCCGAATTATTTAGTGCAAATAGCACAGCAACAGATATATACAATCTTTGAACCGACTCATAGATTAAAACCTCTCACTGAGACCGTCTCTGAAAGGTTACCAGTATTTCGTAAAACACAAATAAACTTCGGTACCGAACATCATTTCTATAAGGCCACCATCTCCATAAAAGATCAAAATGCTCAGAATCTATAGGTGACCCTTTAAGGGCATGGCATATTCATAGCATGTGTTTTAAAAGTGTGAGAAATGATAAAATGCAACGTTCAATATTTAAAAAAATTATATTTAATTCCATATATCTGATTTAAAGCAGGCTTTTGGAACATGAGGTTGGTTCGATCCGTCTAATTCTTATCAGTTAGTTAATGGAAGTTATCCTTTTGACCTTAGAAACTCCTCAGAGAAGCCTTTCCAAATTTTTGGATCGTTTTGCTCATTATTTTACGCTAACATCCATTTCTTATTCGCGCTTTTCAGTTATACTGCCCATATGCCATTCGACGAAACATAAGATCTTTAAATTTTATCAGTCTGTGATTGTTTACAAAACTCAGCGACACGTAAATAAAAGCGCACTTCTCAAGAATTTAAATCCTTATTTTTACGCAATGTATCCATTTCCCACTTTTTTTTTTATATGACATCGTCAACTGTATTCCCTCAATAACGTGAAATTGATACATAATCGTTTGATCTGCTTGTTGTTGACTAATCCTCACTTGTCTAACCTATAGCCAGCCCTAGCCCACGAAATTCCTCGTGGCAAAGAGCGCAAGATTACGCCTGCCTCATGTTGAGCACCTTACAGGTGGCAGTACGATTTAGCTCAGTTACTCCCCCAATTTTGATAGACAGCCACCCGGAGAAACGGGTCCGATGGTTTCCCACTCAACCCTCTTCTCTTACCACTAACCTTTAGAGAGGACTTTCGGCTCGCCGCATATTTAGAATGCCCCCATGCCGCACTGACACTATACATTTACAAACATACCTGCCTTCTCTGAGATTCGAACCCAGGCCCTTTGGCATGGCAGTCAGCAACGCTAATCGCTATACAGGTTGGGCGGTAGTTTGATCTGCTTTTCCATTAAGCTACTGCTGTCGTAAAACTTAAATTCAAGATGGAGTTTTTAAAATGATGAGGAAAAAACCAAACGAATTATAGAAGGCAGTAAACAGAAACCTTGTTGAGTCATTAGGTTCTTTTTAGGTCACATAATATTTAAATTGGAGAGTAATAATGCAAATTTATTAGTTCAAACCTGTATTTTTTATTTCATACGTTATGACACTACTGAATCAAATGTAGACTGAAAGTTGCCAGGGTGGTTGAATAAATGTCTAGTCAAGGTAATTAAAAGGAATCTCGTTAATTATGTAGTATAGAATATGAAACATTATGTCGAGAATATAGCATTTTTTGAATTATTTTAAACAGTATAAACAAAGATATTCAAATATGTAGCAAAGAATATGAAGCAGTGTGTCAAGAGCTTAGCACTTTTCAAATTATTTTAAACAGTATTAACAAAGTTCTTCAAATAGGACATCTTCAAAGTTGCATCAAATCCATTATGGCATTTAAAAAGACAGTTACTTCAAATGTGATGACTTAAAATGGCCCTTCTTCGTGTGTTTCTGATTTATAAAGTAAACACTTCGCTGTAACTTTTAGTGTGATTGATTTGGCGCCTATCTTATTCTTTCGCCTAAGCCTCACTCGTTTCCATTTTGTACTGTCCGTAATATATTATACTTCCTGATGTTACATTTTACTTTACTTTTAATAGTTTTTGCAAATTTTTAATCCTTTTTCATCATTTTAAGAGCTTTGCTGGTTTTAAGTTTTTCTTTTCTAAATGCAAAAATGTTGTTGCAGTGATACTCTACTTCAGGCTCTAGAACTGCGTTCGACCTTGATTTTGTATCTAGTTTAATGATGTATTTTGATAACAGCTTGATAAGAAAGTTATTTTTATAAATATTCTTAATACTTTCCATTTACTTATGCAACTGATAAAAGGTAACACGCTGATAAAATTAAAGCATTACTCATCAAATACCTTCCTAATAAACTGGCATAACAATCAGTAATTAATAAAATAATCTTCATCCCAGTATGCTTTCCTGTACGTAACATAAACAACAAAACAATAACGTTCTTGAATATATAATATATATATATATATATATATAATTATTACTTGTAGAGCCATTAAGGTTTTTTTGAAGCAAGAAACACGAAAAACGAACAGTATCCTCGCCGGGACTCGAACCTGGACCTCTCGAATACGAGCCTAGTGTGCTAACCGTTACACCGCGA